GGACCAAGGAAGAAGAGCGGGAGGAGGAAGCAGGAAGCAAGGAGTGGGGCAAGGAGGAGGAGTGGGGCGAGGAGGAGGGAGATTGACCTGTGGTAAGGAGCAGCGTTGACGACGACTGCTTGCCCCCGTTTTGCAAGAAGTCTCCTCAAAGCATTGAAGACTCCTTCAAATCAGACCGTCAGGGGGGGAACACCTTTCATTTCCCCGCTCCTCTTCCTGCTTCTCCTTCCCCTCGTCTCCTTCTTCACTTTCCTCCTCCCCTTCTTCCTCCTGCTCCTGCTCCTGCTCCTGCTCCTGCTCCTGCTCCTGCTCCTGCTCCTGCTCCTGCTCCTGCTCCTGCTCCTGCTCCTGCTCCTGCTCCTGCTCCTGCTCCTGCTCCTGATCGTCCTCTCCATTTTCTTGCCCTCTCCACCTAGCTGTCCTCCTTTTCCTCCCCTTTCCCTCTCTCCCCTCCTTGACCTTCTCGTCTGCTCCTCGCCCCTCCTCCCTTCGTCTGCAGCTCATCTCACCTTGCGCATGAGGAATCTCGTGTATGATCTCTGCTCCGATGATCAGGTCGAAAGTCCGCCCTGAAGCCGATCGCGTTCAGTCGGAGGAGCAAGGAGCAGGCAGCAGGCTTTCAAGATGAGGAAGAGATAGAAGGATAGAGCAGGGGATCGAGGAGCAAAGGAAGAGAACGCAGGGCGGAGGAGAGGGGAGAGGAAGGGGAAGGAGGGAGAGACTGAGGAGTCCCAGGCTTCTTACCATCAACTTCTGAGTCCTCTAACTTATCCCAATCCAACACAAAGGCATTGCAGCGAACCCTAGCTCTACTGTCTGTACTTGCCTCCTCCTCCTCTGCCTCCTCATCAACCATTCCATCTCCTCCTCTCTCCTCCTCTCTCTCCCCCCCTCTCTCCCCTCCTCTCTCCCCCTCTCTCCCTCCCTCCACCTCATCGCCATTGATCAGTTCGTTGAGCCTGAGCGAGGACCAAATCATCTCCACCGCGCCTGCGTCACAATCTGTGATCTCAACATCACTACGAACTTTCAGCTGCCGCGCGAGAAGAGCAAACCCGATCCCTCCTGCTCCCAGCCCCGCCCCAAGCTCCAGAACTGACAGTACCCCTCCACCACGCCCCCCTGCTCCTCCTGCTCCTCCTGCTCTTGTTCCCCCTCCTCGCCGTCTACAACAACATCTCAGGATCTCAGGAAATACTTGCAGGTATCGTAGTAGCACAACACTGCCTGACCACAGCATGTTGCTGATCTTTCGCTCGGGGCACCTCTCAGACGCTCCTCCCTTGGCCGCCCTCCTCCTCAGCAGGATCTTGAGGGGAGTCCCTGTAGCGTTCAGGCTGCTGGTGACTAGCAGCTCACATCCCAGGCTGTCTTCCATCCCGTTCTCCTCCATCAATGGCGTCGCCTTCATGGGGAAGCGATGGCAGACTTGAGCGCACATGTCCGTCGCCTCTGCACACAGGTCTCGTTCCTCCTCATCCTCCGTCGACTCCATCAGCAGCAGCAGCACGTGATGACCTCCTAGCTGTCCAAGATCCCATGCTACCTGGCTCCTGACTGCTGCCGGCCCATGGAGGAGGGACAAGATGCTGCGAAGACTCTCCTTCCGCTCCTCGGGTGATCCTCCTTTGATGTGGAACAGCGAGGACTGGAGCAGAGAAACCCGCACCCTCCTTGACTCGCCTGCAGCCAACATTCAGCCTCCTCCTCCTCCTCCTCCTCCTCCTCCTCCTCCCCGCCCGCCCACCGCCATGTCTCATCTTACCGTCGCTGCTCCTGCCCCACAGCGACATCTCCGCCATGGCCCCCTTTTTATTCCCCCGATTGCGGGTAATATAAGCATACAGTGAAATGTATCACTCATACCCGGCACTGAGCCTTGGATCCGGGACCGTCACGCCGCCCGGCCCGGCGCCCGTTACCCGCTGCGACGTACCCGGGCCTGGGATCGGACGTGCCGTGTCGGGGAAGGGCCGGAGGGGCTACGGGCCGCGTGACTCATCATTGACCGGGCAGTTCACCGACAAGGCCTAACTTTAGTAAGTTCACTGGCATGAGGAGTCAATCGGATCGTATGTTTTACTAAGTATGATGTCAAAAGTAGTGTGATAAACACGAAGATGCATCCGTTGAATTGCCTTGCACACGTCAATGATTCAACAGCCTCCGCCGCGTCATCATAGCATGGCTGATTTCATGATCTGGTTTCGCTGTGCTGTTGACTGCATTTGTATGTGAAACCAGATCACTTGGCCCACCTTGACGTTAGATCCTTGTAGGCATCTGCATCGACTGGCTCTGCCGAAGTTAGGAGTTTCCTATCTTAAAAAGGGACTAGCACGACATCTGCTATCCTTCCTCGCGGAAATTCAGAAGCCTTTTGAGCTGGGCCTTACTCATCCATCATGTTACGAGTCTCTGCCATAAAGCCTGGAGGAATTGGAATTCCCTGATCCTTGCACTCGATGATCTTCACCAAGAGCTCGCACTGTTTCTTATACCTCTCGGCCCTAGCCTTATACATCCGAGCTTCCTCTTTGTACTTCTCAGCCTGGGTCTCAGCCTGCCTGACAGCGCGGTGCTGGTCAACGAAGTTGTAAAACTGATCGTCGCTCTTCTTGAGGTAGTCCAGGAGGTCAGACAACTGGGGAACTGACACTTCGGGGTAACTTTTCTGATTCGCGACTTGCCGTCCCCTCTTCCGAGGAGCATGGCTTGTCCTGCAATCGGACGGTGGCTTTCCCGCATACTCGTCGTCATCTTCGTGCCCTTGCAGTCGCTCAGCTCCATTTTCTGACTCGCTCTCAGATCCCCGCTCAGAAGCTTCATTTTTCTTCTCTTCCACGTCCACCGTCTTCGCATCGAAGTCTCTCCCGCGTTTGTTCGGAGCGCTCACACCATTCATGCTTGTTTCAGCCTGGGGATTATTCTTGAGCCATGCCGTCTTCATCTCGGACAAGCGCAAGTGTAGCTCGTCCATTTCGTTGAGAGGTTTCCCCGCCTCATGGAGAGGACGGAGGTATTTCTCTCTGCCGCCAGAGATGATGGAGTCGACGACTCTCATGACCTCGAGCCACCTGTCACGCGTGGTGAAAGTCTTCAGAGCACCATCGAAAAGAGGATCAGAGTTGAGAGTGGCCGTGACTGAATTGTACAAGGCGAATCTGTCTTTGGATCCGAATATCCTGTCCGGGGAGTACATCAGCATGCCTTGTACTATCCGAACGCGCCTCTTGAAGCCATCGACACCTGGCCCTCCTTTGAAGCTCATCCTGGTCTGCTTGTCCGCATGCTGCTGCTCTCGAGGCGCTGCTTGCTCCGCATCGCAAGACGACATTCCTATCGCGCAGCGAGTAGTGATGGCGGGAAATGCGATCTGGTTCAAATCTGCTCATATTTCAAAATGTTCGAGAAATTTCGAAAATACTCTATTAACAATTCAAATTAAAATAAACAGGTTCAGATTCAATTCCCATGTTTGCAGATATCATCACGACAAGCATGACGATCCGTTCCGTTCAATGACATGACATTCTCGTCAACATCAGCATCAACATCTTCTGATGACGAAGATGTGGGTCTAGACCGGCGATGTTCCCAAAAAAAAAAAAAAAAACGGTCGAGAAATGAGAGTCGGCTGAATTTTCTTGCCACGTGACAAAGTTGTTCCAACTTGGCAAGTTTCAGTCTCACGGTCTGATCCAACTCGGCCGCGACGTCGAACTGTACGGCGGTCACAGCGTGTTGGTGGTCAACCGCGACATCCGAGCCTCGGAGTGCCGCTGCAACACTGAAGCTCATCTTTGGGATCGGCCGCTCACGGTGGCGACGGTGGCCAGTACGGTAGGCCCCGCACAACCGTGATTCCCACCGTGACTGCTCAGCGGCTCGAGTTCGACGAGCAACTAGAGGACAACAATTGCAACTGTGCTATCTCGGCAGCGCAAGACTTGCTTGCAGAGCAAATACTGGTGGAGTTGTTCCGAGGTTCAAACTGGAGCCCTGCGGCCCAGTGCCGATTGCAGTCCGATCTCGCGAAATTACAAACACCCGACCTTCCTGCGGCAGCACGCGAATTTTACGAAAACAACTCTTTGTACACAGTAAGGAATCGTATGAACAATCATACAAGTGTGCAGCATTGCATCCGAGGGCGCGAGGCGGGCCCGGCCGGCCGGGCCCGCCCGGTAGTTGATCCCGGGGGGCCCGCATAGTTGATCCCGGCGATGGTACTGGAGCTTGGCGAGAGGAATGAAGAGAGGAGGAGCGGAGGAGCGGAGGAGCGGAGGAGGCGAGAAGAGGTCGAGCTTCTGGGCATGAGGAGGACCCGAGGAGACTGACGGCCATGAGCCGCCTGGCCCTGCTAGCTCGTGTCCATGCCCTGGCACCTTGTCAACGTCAAAGTCCGTCGGGGAAACTTTGAAGGTGAAGGAGCAGGTGACAACGAAGTTGATCGCTGTTTGATCCGCCCCATCCTTCTCGCCCGCCCGCCTCCATGGCAGGAGGAGACGCAGTGACAGCTCGAGAGAAGATGCAGAAGATGTCGAGGTCGTCCTTCAAGCGCAAGTGTGCAGAGAATGGAATCGTTGTCCCCCTCAAGGCCCTGGAGAGGAACATCGCCAGGTCGCCGGCCATTGCGCGGGAGGTTCTGGCGTACAGGACGAGGAACAAGCTGATCACGTATCGTCAGGACACTGCGGTGACTTACTCTTGCCCCTCCTGCTTGCTCGGAGCTGACTTGAGCTTTGCTTCAGGACACCTTCACTGCTGTGATCGTCGTGCACGACGGTGAACGAGTAGAGGCAGCAGGGGATCCCTCCTCCTGGCCCCCCCACACCATCGAGCGGGTCCTGAAGGGAGAGCTCTTCCTTGCTCAAGCTCGGCTCGGGTACGGGAGGGAAGGCATCACGTTGGGGAGGAGGAAGGGGGGCAGGACATTACGGCTGAGAGGGATGGAGAGCCTGACACTTAGCCGAGAGTTCTGTGATGAGCTGAGCCTCCAGCTCGAGTCCAGCAGACGGCCTCCGATGAGTTTGCGGGGGGAGGCTAAGGAGGAGAGGGCAACGGGAGCTCTTGAGCACGATGGCGTGGTGGAGGCGGTGGAGGCCGGCAGGACTTGCAACGGCGACGTCAGCAAAGGGGTTGAAGCGGGAGGGCCACGAGCCAAAGTGATGGTCAACGGGCGAGATGTGGAGCATAACAACACTCAGCACAAGGAAAATCCCTCTCTTGCGGCATGTGTGATCCTTGTGCTGTTGGTAATCGGGCTCTACTGGATTTTCAGCGACGCTCTTTGGCGATGGTTCCAATTGCAAGGGGGTTTGGTTCCATTCGTTTTGTAATACAACTGAAGAAGAAGCTCATCTGGCAAGAGTGAGAAACAAGACTAGCTAAACATTCAATCTACATAATATTATCACGGGAGAATAAATCTGTTCGCTGCGAGAAAGGCGTTCGAGAAACCCATCGCGCACCTACTCCGAGGTAGGTTCAAGGTCCCTCGTCCAGGCATCGAGTTCTTTTAAGCGTTCTCCTCTGCCGAGGAGTTAACGTTCCTTCCTTTCCTTTCTTCCAACCTCCCTCCTCCCTTCTATTTCCCTTGATCGTGTTGACTCCGACATGGAGGTAAACGTCTGCTAGGAACATCCTTATTCAGCCAGGCTTCCCCTGCTCACACTGAAACATTGCTGTCATCAGACTCGCCTCCACCGCTGGCTCTTGCTCACCATTCCGGTGAGGAATCTGTAGAGGAGGAGGACTCCGTGCCGGAGAAATCTCCCAACCGCGGGATCAGGCTGCAAGGAGCAGAACCGTCAGACGAGAGCATTGTGAACGCCGAGTGGCTACAAGAAAGCAAGAAGATAGAATAGAATACACCAATGGCGGATACAGGGGTTGCAATAAGAGATGGTTGCACAAAGGGAGCAGCATGAAGACTGACCTCTCGTGCGAGATGACAGTCGTAGCCCGCACTATCGCAGCAAGCAGCACGGAATCTCCAGCGATGCCTGGATGGAACGAACTTAAAGGCAAGTGGACGAGGAGGATTGCAGAAATCTTACGTTGAGCTGTGCTGTCAAGAGCAGCTAGAACATGATGATCTCCCGGTTCCGCAAGCTTCTCGAGCACCTTTATCTAAAACTTCAAGTCAGAGAAGAGCGTGGCAGGACCAACTGCACACCGCTGCAAGCTTGACGTCCCTGTCATCATGGTTGATCACGTCCAATTTGGAGTGTCTTTCTCCCACTGCAGTATCGTCCAGTCGCAAGAGGATCTCTGCCAACGCTAGTCAACATCCAATTTTCACTTAGATCATGACTTCAACCGTTGATCGAGAACCGGCATCCTCTCTCAGCAACCTGTACGATCATGTGACCACAAGACCACGAGAGCAAGAGCCTTTACCTGGCCCAGAGCTTGCACGGCAGCCTTCCTGACCCTCCAGTCCGCGTCCTGCGAGGACTGTACGATCGCCTGAGAGATTTTCAGTTCTCTTCCTTCATGCAAACTCTAATAGCCACGCACCCGCAAGACTAGCTGATCCCCCTGCTGGGCAATCTTCCCCAAGGCTATCAGACATGCCTTCAAGGAGAGAGCAAGTCATTCCAATGCTTGCAAAAGTAGTTGGTTTGAATCCTAACCTTCCGTACAGCCCAGTCATCGTGCCGGGACATCTCTATCAGCGCATTTACAACATGTCCTGCCCCTCTAGTGCACAGGTTTCCCAGGCCCTGCATCGAGCACAGTGATCAGACGCTTGCCTGAGGCCACCACAGACTACTGAGGTCCCACCTCCGCACAGAGTGCTTTTGCTGACCAGCTCTCGCTCCCCATCATCTTCGCCAACAGCTCATCCACCACCCAATCATCTGCACGGCTGCAGACTTTCGACAAGGACTGTCCACACAGAACAAGCATCAGGATAGCACGAGCAGAATGAAAGTTTGCTACCTTGAGCGCCGAGCTCCTCACTGCCCAATCTTTGTCATCAATCATATCCAGCATCTTGTCGCAAACCAAACGATCCCCCGTGTCTGCCGCTATCTTCCCCACAGCCTCCGCAGCCAGAGCACGGACTTCGCTGGCCTTATCCTGCACACCGAACCCGCTGCTTGCTATCGACTGGCCCAACAGCTCTCTCACAACGTGGAAGTCCCCATTCCTCGCAACGTGCCCTAGGGACCTGATCGCAGCTAGGCGGATATGCACATTGTTGTTTCTGAGCTGCGAGAGAAGGTGTTCCACTGTATCGCCTGCAGCTGCTCGCTCCCCATGGTTCAGTCGGTTCAGCGCTGCAATGTCCTGCAGCCAACCAGGGCAGGCACGTTGGCTTATAGCCTGTTGATGAGCCGCATGCTCTGGCTGCTCGCTCGTGATCGCTACCATGGTTCAGTACAGCACTCTTGAAAGGTGTTCCTGCTCTCAAGAACCAAGCAGTGCACTATCCAACGTTCACTCCAGATCCTTCCGTACCCTGAAACCCTGCACTTGGATTGCAATAATAGTTCCTTGACCAGGGTACCTCCACCTCTCGCCTCTCAACCTCTTCAATCCCTCTGCCCCTTGTCTTCCGCCTCCTCTCTCTCTCCTTATCCTCGAAGTCTCTCTCCTCCTCTGCTCTTCCTGTCTCTCTCACGTGCTCGCTCCTTCACTTCGCTCCGCCTCTTCCTGTAGCCATGGCGATCGAATTCCCCACATTCCCCCAAAAGGACCCAGGTTCCATTTTGAATTGAAATTTCAAATATTACGATGTATTTTCACAGTGTTGTCTCACTAGTTGAAACATTTCGTATTACCCGAGTTCCTACTTCACTCCCCGGGTTTGTTGCGGGAGGATTAGGACCCCTACCCCTAAAGATGAAATTTCAGAATTGACCTGACCCTCCTTGTAGATACCAATACCTTAAATCACCCCTACATTTTGCTTTTGTCAATGTACCCCTACAACATGCACCCATACCCTGTATTATGTACCAACATTCATTGATAAAGACCACATCTTCAGCACTGTATATACACCCCACCCCACCAAAAAAGTCTTGGTTGAGTTAAGTACCCACTGAAAATAGTAATCTAACCCCTAGTGACTCATGACCTACCATAGAAAATCCGACTGAATGTGAAAGGACCGGTTATTATGGATCCCTACCCGTACTATTATGGAAGCATCTCCAGTCATCTACCACATAGCTGACCCCCCTACCCCTACCCCTTGAAAACTCACACAACCCTATTGGAGCATCATCTGTACCCCTACTTTGAGCCTACCTGGTCCAGAGTACCCACCAGTTGGTTTAACCACCGTGTCAACTTTGCAAGAGGTAGACATTTCAATCAAAGTTTGAAAATTAATCAATTAATTTTACCACAACCCACAAATATGAATTAAAAATTATCGGGAACCCCTCTCACTCAACTGACACCCGTCATAATCTCACCACCCCATAACCTCAAGATACTATTAGTACCCTCCACCTACTCCTTCTATTACCCTACCCTGCACCTGCTGAGATTCTAAACAGAGGACTCATAACCGAGCCACGGTCACAAGCCATCGGAACCGTTCAACGGTTCCCACTGAGTCCGAGCCGGACTCAGCCATGATGATCCGGGCCGGCAAAACGGCCGGCCCTCTGAGGGCCTGAAAACTTGAAAGCCGCAACGCTACTATTGACAGTGATGCGCGGGCCGGGCCGCCTCAGTCATTGCCGCATAAGTTGACATGCCAGGCCGGCCCGGGCCGCCCGGCCGGTACTACTCGTAGGCTGACTCCGCCCGCGGCGCCGCCGGCGCCCCGCGGCCGCCGTCCCGTGGCCGCCGCCGCACTGCGGGCGCGCCGGGGGGCAAAGTCACGGTGGCACGCAGACATAATGAGTCGATCTCAGTTGCAACAAGACAGCTTTTGCTCCGGCTTGAACTTCGGCCGAAACCAGAATTTAGGACGGAGTCAGTACACTGCCAGGCCGCGTGTGAGATAGCCCCGACTGTCACTGTGTATGCTAATAGGATGTGAAACCCAAGCATCCAGACATGAGAAGACCTTAGCAAGACGGCTAGGAAGGTCTCCTCTGAGTCTTCGCAGGCTCCGAGGCTCTCAGTACCCGGCGCTATCCGCTGACTGGCATGGCTCAGTGATACATACCCGGTACGGTAGTACCATCCGATCCCGTACTACAACGGTACGGTACCGTACTATACATACAGGCAGGCAGACATCATAGTTAGTTTACAGTGATCGGGCCGCGCCGCGCTCAGGCTGCCGCGCGCCGCGCAGACCGCCAGATGACTCCGACCGTGAGGTCACTGAGTCAGCCGAGTGTCATCCTCAGTCGGAATTTTATTAAGAACTGACAACATAATTTACACACAGTCACATGGTGGTTAGCCAAATCAGTTGATCTCGGGCCATGGATCCTCAGGGGAGGCATCGCCGGTGAAGCGAAGGATGCGGTCGGGAACGTACTTGGGATGGTCGTCTCGCTCGAAGAGCTAGAGGGGGAAGAGCGTCAGGCTCCGAGGCTACTCTACAGCAGGTGGTTCGTACCTGAACGCCTCCTGCCGGCCCCGAGTCGTTGGCACTGAAGTTGAGGGGCTCATCAAAGCCAATGTCATCGAAGATCCTCCTGGAGGGTGAAGTCGTCAGCAAGGAGGAAGCAGCGAAAGCTGTTCAAGCATACTTCCGCACGAAGTAGGGGAGGAAGCCCTCAATGTCGAGGCAGACGCTTGCTCTGTCAGCGAGTTGAGGATCGCTCCACCCTACGTCCTCGTCTCTTACCTGTGCTTCATCGCGTACCCCTCCTTCTCCGACGACAACTTGTCGTAGGTGATGGTGAGCTGAGCGATGAGGATGTTGAGCATGCCGATAGTGACAGCACTGTAAGCCAGGTCACTTGGAGCGTAGAAGGCAAGTGAGGCGCTCACGAGACGTAGACAAGAAGGAGGAAGCGAGTGAAGGAGCCAATCTCTGGATAGTACTGCTGGGATACGCCAAGAACCTGGCCCAGGTCTCATCACTTGCCCTCTTCTTCTCCTCCTCTTCTTGCATCAACTTACCTCCTGGAGCAGCACAGCCAGCGTATGATCCCAACCCTGATCGAAAGGAGGCTCGCCGATCATTGTCAGGGCAGAGCCGAACGCTAAAGAAGCAATCAGCACAAGGGCAGCAAAGGAGGAGGAGGAGAAGGAGGAACCTGAGATGAGGATGAAGATCATGAACAAAGAATGGCTAATATCAAGAAACATGATGCCAATGGTATAGGTAAAAGCAGCGAGAGGTGTTGACAGAATGCAAGCCTGCAAGAAAGTTTAGAGCTTTCTTCCCCCTCACTCCCTCCCCTGCAGTAGGAACAGACCTGGAACATCTGAATCCACAGGAGAACACCAACAAACGCCATGGCGGATCGATCCTTGGATGAAGCCAGTGTAGTGGCCGTCGCTACTCCTGTGTCGCCCTTGGCCTTGGCTGCAAGGAGGCTGAACTGCTCCAACATGCCGAAGTTGTCCGCAGGTTCATCCCAGTACTCTGAGAGGAGGAGTTAAAAGGCAGAGTTATGCACAAATGTGCGACTGCACCAACAGCACCTGCTCGGGTAGAGGTGTTGGTGATGTTGGTGCAGGAAGCAGACGTCGGGTTGTTCACGCAGTGATTGCATCCCTGGAGAGCAATGATCATGCGATGGAAATGAATTGAAAAGAATGTCAAAGAGCAGGAGGACGCCAGGAGAGAACAAGGACTATTCGTAGGAGGAGAAAGGGGAGAGTAGAAGTTGGAGATAGAAGAGGTAGAAGGGCAGGAAGAGAAGAGCAGAGAAAGAAGAGATGCATCTTACATCGCGTGACATGACGTAGATAAGGAGAACACAGGAAGTGATCCTGACAAGCGTCCAGATGCTCGCCAGACAACGAGGGACTATAATCTCGAAGGAGCCGATCTGATACGTGATGCACAGCCGCTTGACAAAGTGCGTCATGACCATTTTCATCTGCCACGAAAGGAGCTGAGAAAAAGTTTGACAAGCACTGCAAGTTGCGGCTCACCTGAACGCCCAGAGTGACAACTGCCATGACGGAGAGGGCAATACGATCTTTCTGCAGACGGTTCAAAGTCAAATGAAGGGATGATGGGGCCATGACAGCAACAAGGTCGTTGCGACAACAGTACAGACGTCCTCTCATCCAACAACTCGCACACTTCGCACATCGAGCCTCAACACACAAAGAGGAGAAGCGCATCCAGCCACTAAGGTCAACAAGTCCTCTACATGGCAACAGCATCTCAAACAAACGATCTCACTTGCAGCCTTCCTATGCACCCGCTCGGGTCTTGCACATGGCCAACCATGAACGTGATGAGCATGCCGAGGTACCAGACCTCCTTCAAGCAGAAGAGGAACAGACCAAACTTCTGCCACTTGAGCTGCAGAGTCTGTTTGACAATCGGATGCAGGAACGTGTGGTTATCGCCTACAATGAGCAGTTAATCAGGGAGAATGGAAGACAATCAGAAGGTTCTCTTCACCCAGCACGATGAAACGTCCTAGAGGTGAAGCCCAGGAGTCGACGTTTTCTCTAGGTTCACCGTACACGTCTTTGATATAGTAGTTCACTCTCACCTGCATTTCGGTCAACGATCGTCGTGATCATCACCTCTCTATGTTCATCATCATCATCATCATCATCTTCACAAAGCTGCAACAGCAACCAAGGTGATATTCGAGCAGTAGGATCCGAAAGGACATATGATCCAACGCCCCTATCACCCCAACGCCTCCCATCCTCCTGCGCAAGGAAATCTTCCTACCAATCGTCCCATCAGCTTCTCCTTGGAGTGCCACATGAGCCCGTCCAGGAGGACGGTCATCGAGTCAGGAGCCTCCCGCAAGATCTCTCCAATCAGATCATCGTGGTACTTGAAGAGCTCCTCCCTCCCGTAGTAGTATCCATGGATGTCCGCTCGGATAGTGAGCAGGTCGCTGTAACGGAGACCAATCAAAACATTGGCAGGGGTACAGAAAAAGACACCACCTTAAGATGAAGTCTACGATCGCTGTCTTTCCATCGTGCATCGCCCAGATCAAGGGGGAGATGATGGCGCCGTTGATATCAATCTACAGCAGGGGAGACAAGAGAGTCAGACATGAACAGAACAGGTCTGATAGTGAATCCACAACACCATCCCATCCATCATCGCCTCTTTCATCATTATGTCGCAGCGTTCATGCGCCTCACCACCACCACCAAGAAATAAATCTCCCTCGTCATCACCTGACATAACCACTCTGCTCTCTTGCTGCGGGGAGCCGAGCTGATGGCGTCCTGTAGCGCCTCCACGTTCCCTTCTACTAGAGCTTGCGTGATCGCGTTGCCTCCCATGTTCAGCCCTCTTGACATGTTGCATGTGGCTCTCTTCCAAACCTTCATCATCATGTCACTCGGAGTGCCTTGTTTGTTCGTCAGCTCACCAGCTTCCACGCCTTCGTCGTCTTCTCTTCCCAGACATCGGAAAGAATCTGATTTCGTCGGGTTCAGAAGAAGATGCAAGGGAAGGGAAGGGAAGGGTCAAAGGCAAGGATGAAGAAAGGTTCGAGAAGAAGCATCGAGGGAGAGAGAGCGTAAAGGAGAGGAAGTAGATCAAAGAGGCGGGAAAGAACCTCTTCGAAGGTTGCGAACAAGGCGTTTCCGAAAGGATTCAAATATTCGGAGCGAACTCCATAGCGGATGTGGCGGATAGTGAGCTCAAACATGAGGTCATAATACTCCTGAAATGACAACATAAGCTTGCAGCAGGTGGCAGAAGGTAGAGGAAATGGAGAAGGATCTATACTCCTTCATGAAAATCTATGGACGCTGAAGGGAGAGGAGGAGAAGAAAGGAAGAAGACCAGGGCAGCAATGGCAGAAGGAGAATGGAGAGAGGAGTAGGATGCAAGCTGGAGGAGGGCTGTACCTCGGGGTCTGTAATGCTGATGAGCAGCATGTTCACGATATGGTGAAGCAGATGGCCCCACATGCTCAGCGATCGGCGGAACAGGTTCGTCTGCTCAGGGCTCTGCAAGCAGGGATCACACGGAGGGGAGACAAGTCATGAGGGCAACCATGCAGTTGAGATACTTCCAGAACTTCTCCCCAAGCTCCTGCACTTCCGTTCTCTGTCTGACAATATCCCAGCTGCTCAAGACCAGGTCGTTGTAGCCGTTCTCAGAGGCGTTGAACTCTTCTTGCAATGCCTGGGTAGGTGAAGGAGATCTCAGATCCAGGACCACGTACAAGGAAATAACATGGAGCACAGTTGCCAACACTGGAGACAGAGGACAGCACAATCTCTATTAGCTGGCAGCATTAATCGGCAACGCGAGCCATGGCAAAGAATTGCAGAGCTCGGAGGCACAACTGGGGAAAGGTCACCTCGGAGATGCTTTTCCAGAACCAGCGAAGGGAGCTTATCATCCTCTCATCGAACCTGACAAACAGTTCAGAACCAGTGAGGCGAGAGCACGACATTGTTACAGGCTCTCCGCAGTCTTGGTGATTGCTCGCTCGATCGCCAACCATACATCTTTCAGATGCTTCTCCCTCATGCCCCTGCCATGGTCCAGGTCAACTTTCCGCTCCACTTGGAGTTCAGGATCAACCATGCAAACAGGCGAGGAGCACAGATCGCAACAATTTCCATCTGCTTCTCAGGGTCCCAAACATTCTGTCCGGTCTCCAGGAAGAAGTCGTACACGCTCTCGATGATGTTCACGGTCGTTTCCTCCGCCATCCCTTCAAAAGTGTTCGCATTCGGTCGGGACGTTCCGGTTGTACTCAGCTTCCCTGGAGTTCTCATCATCAAACAAGCTACAAATCACTCAGAGCAATCGTCTCACTTTCTGGCTCTTTCTTTTTCGCAGCACTGGCATGAAGGAGATGCGAAACCTTTTGACATCTCTTTCAGTACAGCGCACTACACTGCAAGATACTCACATCATGCAACGCAAGATCGGGAACGCTTCCCCTCCTATCCGAGCCTGACTTGACCGACTCATTGCTTGGGTTGCCGGATGAGACCGACATGAGCCGTCCGCTACGTTTCAGCCTCGACAACCCCTTGGACCCAGAGCTCGCCTCGTCGTCGAACATGGAAGGGCAGTTGGTCGCCAGCTCTGCTCTGATCGTTGCCACCATGCTGGTCGCGTCCACCTGCTCCTTCAAGATTCCGATCGCCTTCTCTAGAGCCTCTGCATACTCCTCCCCCTCCTGTATCGCATCTGCCATGTTGACACAAACCATATTGAAGAGGACAGACCACGCCTTCTCTGTGTCTTGCGACCAGTGCACACCAGCTGCTTCTGCCACAACAGCAAGGAAGACCGGTCCCATCAGCGGGATGTGATGGGGTCTGATCTTGTACTTGACGTGGCGCAAACCCAGCCATGAAATCTGCTGCTTCATCGATTCAGAGCTGTCGGCGAAGGACACGAGCATGGACAACATGTCGCCCATCTTCACAGCCATGTACGATCTTGGTTTCGTGAACAACATTGTCAGGTTTGGAGCCATCTTGAACAAATGGTCGTACACCATCTCACCAAGTTCATTTGTCGTGTACTGTTCACAAATTGAGTCCCAGCATTCTCTTACGAGACCCAAGTTGGAGCCAACATCCTGCAAGGACTGATCGAGAATCTGTGTGAGATACTGCCATATCCAATTCCAAGCTTCTTCATCCTCGTTGGTGAATTCGTCTCCGAGCACATGCTTCAGCAACGAAACAATAATGCCCTTCATTATTGGCATGTGCGCTGCCTTCACACCTTTCCTGTGATGCATCGGGGCCAGCTCGTTCACTTTTTCAAAGATAGTCTGCGGGTTGTTGATGTTCTCAACGATGCTGGAGAGCATATCAACGAATTTTGTGCCTTGCACAGTTTGGTTTGTGAAGCGAAAGAGAGGTTCCAAAGTGTCGTTCGCCTTCACTGAGCCATAAATGCGACGTCCGATCTCTGCGTAATCCGACTTCTTCACCAACTCGGTCCAACTTGATGCAATACGAGCAGAGTGCAGGTCCCATAGGTACTGATCGATAGGAGGAGCCTTCTTCAGCTTGGCGAGACGCCGTTTGCGGTGCATTTGTCCACGGAACACACCTCCAGCCTTGTTGATGTTAGTTCCCCTGCCCTTGCGAGACCTTGAGTTCATGCTGCTGCTGTTCTTAGTTGTGGTGGGCCTCGAGGAAGAGAGATCTTCTCGAGATCTGACCGATCTCGGTGACTCAGTCGCTTTGTTCGGAAAAGAACTGAAAGAGCCATACGGATTATTCGAAGTCATGTCGTCTGAGCCTGATCTCATTTTGAAGCTTCCCGTTCTCGACATGGTCTTGCTAGGTGTGACGGGTTCGTGGCCTGCTTCTTTGAGCATCGCTAGAGCCATAAAAGGACATCCTGTTGCAGGAATGTTCAGAGTCGGCGGCTGGTTGCACTCTGTTGTAGCTACACTGTGCTTGTCATCATCCTTGGAATTTTTCCTTTTCTCCTCCTCATCAGGCTTTGAATCTACCTCCGAATGCGCTTCCTCTGAAGATCCATTTTCCAGCACACCATTCTCTTTTGCATCCAAAACCATGGCAGGTACTACTCCCTCCTGCGAAGGGCCTGCGGCACCCGCAGTTTCAGTTACGCCCTCGGGCAGATCTTCCTTGTAACCCGAACCAGCGCGTTCATCGTCCTGATCTTCATGATGATCCTCATGGGATTCATCAGTGCGTGCCTTGAGCTCAGCATCTGCAGTGGCCTCGTCTTCGTTCATCGAGGTCTCGCCGCTCTCCTCCCTCAGGATTGGCAGCTCGCCAAACGCAGCCGTACCATCATCAGCAGCATAGTCGGCATAGTAATACCTCGGCAACAGCTGGAAAGCAGGGTTGTCATGGCGCTCGAAGAAAGGATCAGAGGCATCTCTTCCAATGTGGCGCTCGAGCGCCTCGAAGCCCCCTGGGTGTTCCTCGAGGAACTTGGTCACGTCGAAGACCATCCCGGCAATGATGATCAACATCTTCCCTTCGGATCGTGCTTCAACGAGATCAGCATCTGTGAGCACAGGATGGCCGAGCCTGTCTCGCTCATCCTGGATCTTCTCCAAAACATCTTCAGGGAGTCTCATGGCGTGAAAGTCCATCCTGACTGATGGCTCGGGATACTACCACACTGTCTGAGCTCCACGGTAAAGAAACACAGATCAAAGCTTATAACAAGATCCTCCGAGATGCAAACCGATTCACTTGCTGCTCATCTCCTGGCAGTAACGATTAGCAGGTTGGCGACACAGTGTGAGCATTATTTCGCAACAAAAACATGAGACTAGTAACACTAGTAAGGTCTGCCACGTCTATCTATTTTCCTCCATGGTCTAATATGGCCAATGCTCTAGCTTTCCTACAACTTATGACCTCGACATGTTGGAAAACTGATGAAAGACAGAGAAACACACCGAAGCCTTTCTTGAAGCCTTTCATGATTCACTGTTTCGAGTTCTACTACCGCCACGTCCATTCTGAATTCCTCCTTATCTTGTGCTTGCATTCATATTGCTTGCACAAGCAAACACAACAGAGTATCAACTGCGTGTTGATCTACCACTTGAGGGTCGTGCCATTATCCTTTCCTGATAACACCAGTAATCATATTAGTCCATTTTCACTTAGGACGTCCAGCTTCTCCCCCTGCATTACTCTCAAGAGCCCTCCTCGTTCTGCGTCATCAACATCATCAGCAGGTAAGCCCATTTCCGTCTACTCCATGAGCTTGTGTCCTGTCCTGTCCTCTTTTTCCCTGCGCATAACCCTTCTCATAATCTTCTCATAATCTTCTCTCGCCATAGTGGATGATTAAGACCGCTGTTTTGCCAGGTGGTGGGTGGTCCATGAGTGTACATTCTTTGGGAGCAGGGGGGTAGGGGTACTGTGTACCGAATATGAGGAGGCCGTTGGTGGGTGATAGGGACAGGGTTGTATCGCCCCGGGTGGCCAGGTACACATATGGGTAGGTGGGACGCAATGGTAGGAACACGGGTAAGTTTTACCATAAAGGTGGGTGGGGGTCAGGAAGGAATGGTCTCTAGTGGGGTGGGTACTTGACAAAACTTCGGGGTAAGCACAAACAGAACAGGAAGGATTCGGGTCCCTTGCAAGGAGGCAGTCGTAAAGTATCTTTTAAGATTAGAAACATTTTAAAAGATACGCCGCACCCCATGTATCATGGGGTTTCGGCAAGGGTGGGGTACCACACGTCACATGGGTCCATCTGGAGATACCGAGATGTGACAAGAAGCTGACACCACCCATCCGTCCCCGGCTTCCCAAATTTCTCGAAAGGTTCTCTTTTGGGATATTCCTTTTTTGGTTCGAAAAGTAACACTCTTGTTACGACCCCACCACCCACCCGTCCAAATAGGGGTGCAGGAGAATTCCCTTCGTCATTCCCGAGGGCCAGGGACGCCCGGAGGCCACCCAGTCTCAACCCCCTGCCCTCCCCTCTCCCCCTCCCCCGATGTACAGTTACTCACAATGACCCCCGCTGATAGGACCCCCCCGTTCTCACTATCCCACCCCGGAAGTTTATTCACCTCCGGGAGATTTTACCACTGTATCACCAGAGGTGACTGTCGGAACCTTGAAGAGCAGGGTAGGGGTGGCGGGGCGCATGATATCCTTGCCAAAAACAATAATATCTCACGGACGGACAAGCTAACGCATCGGTTCGGGGAAAGGACAAGAGTGCCCTTCCTGACTATGTCTGTTCAGCCGTCCTGGCATTTTACTTAGTCATGCTCTTAGGAGACCTGCAGACCCCACCCAGGTTGAAAAAGCTCTGCAGGTCGTCACGTTGTGGACCCATGGACCCCACCCTACCACATTAAAATCGGCTGCAGGGTGGGGGGCCTTTGGGAGCCAAGGGGTTCTTTAAAAGAATTTTCAAAACACAATCCCACGGTATCTTCGTACAACCGTACCTGTAATACTAAAAAAAGTTTTATATTTTACTGTGGTCCCGCCTCCTCATTGTGCATACCACCCCTACCACCCTGACCTGCCACCCCACCCCACTAGATCCCATTGTTTCGCACCTCTTGGCGACAGTCCTGTGGTGACTCCGTTTCCTCAATTTCAACCCTACCCACCAATGACTCGCATTTAGGACACTACCGGTGATGGTTCTTGCACCTTGATATTTTTACACCCCTGTATTGTAAGTGCAAAGCACCGGTTCGCGATGAGTGAATACTACCCCCACCCAGTCAGCGAAGAAGAATTTACTGGCAAACACGCCAACCACCACCCACCCCCACTCGCTCCTTCGACGACCCCCGGTAACCGGACTTTGGGTATACGACCTGCATGGTTGCAATGGTGGAGTGAAGTAGAGGTAGCGGTGCTGTACAAATCCCTATCATAAGACTTGAATTCTCCTCTCGTCTTGATATTAAGCTCGATCTTCATTCTACAACTCTCTTCTTCTTTGAAAGCTCCCGTTCTCTCAACTTTGTCATTGGTCAGTGTGTTATTCCCCCTGAAACCCCTAAGAGGACGAGGCAAAGCTCACCGTTGCAAAGCTTGCGGCGTGCTTTCGGCTGATCGTCCCATTTCTCGGGAAGGTTTTTGACTGGAACAGCCAAGATGTCTGCAGGCAAGGCGCTAAATGCTGACATACTCACTGCAATCGACAGAAAGCGAACGACGCTGGGAAACCCAGTGTGGTCGAAACAGCAAGTTTCTGAGAAGTCATCTGACTCGAAATGTCTTCTTATAATCCACAATATGGTCTTTGACGTCACCAGCTTCCTTCGAGAGCACCCTGGTGGATCTGGTATCCTTCGCAGCAGCAACGGAAAGGAAGCAACCGATAGTTTCATGCGTACGCACAGCTTGAAAGCTCAGTGGCGACTTGTAGACATGTTTGTAGCCGATGTGGGCATGTCAGAGAACGGATCTGCAGCAATTCATGATGATGGGGCGAAGCGTGTGTCTAGCGAGAAGCATGTTCTTCCTGTTCCTCCTTTGAAGCTGCCTGAACATCACCCTACCGTGAATGGCGTAGACGAGGATATGCTGAAGCAGGGTGGTGGGGGCTGCCCATTCATGGCCCTTGCTGCACTGCATGAGAGCAAAGAAGAAGAAGCTGCAGATTCTGACGCAGGTGAGAAGAACCATTTGAATGAAAATGGACTTGGCGGAGGGGGGGTATACCCCAAACCTGTGATCGACAGTACCCACTCGTTCAAGTCTGATACTAGGACTGCTGGCTCCTTTGCGTCTTCTTTTGCAATCATGGGCATGCAGAATACTAGTCCAAGGTCGATGCATTCGCGGGAGAGCCGCTCAGTGAAATCGAAGAACACTGCCTCGAGCTACAGCAAGGACAACTACAGCCAGAGCGATATGAGTCGTTCCAACAGTCGTTATCGTGGAACCAACTTGAACAAGGCAGGCGGTGTCTACCGCCCAAGTAGACACAGGAAAAGGAATGTGAATGTCAAGTTTGGCAAAGCACCTCCAGTGGACATGGGGAAATGGATTCAGCATTCTGGGCATGTGGTTGCCTCTTGGAACAAAGTTCTGAAGAGCATGTCTTACACTGAAATCGGATCGAGCATTTATTCCTCTGTCCGTGATAATGATGAGTTGGAGCCTCTTTTTCGCTTCACAAACAGTTCAGTGCAGGGAACCAAATTTGTTGACATGCTCTCGAGCATTGTAGAGAACGTACAATCGCCAGCAAGCATCTATGTGAAGATCGCTGAATTGGCCCCAATGCACCATCGTAAAGGTGTGAAGGGTAGCCAGATGCCCTTGATGAAAGATGTGGTACTTGGAGTGTTCAGGGCCGCTCTGGCAGATGATTTTCTGCCAGAAGAGCGAAGAGCATGGTCTTGGATGTGGAATTATCTCTCTGAGGCTTTGGAGCAATCGTTGAAGGATGTTGGATCAACTCTTTCCATTGTTAGAGATTGCTGGGATATTATCATGGAGCACTATGAGCCAAGTGATCTTGGTGAGATGGTGTATGATCATCTGTTCCGATTGGCACCCAATGTCGCATCTCTCTTCACCCAACCGCGTGTTTACATGGCAGTGAAGATGGGTGACATGCTCGGTATGCTCGTTTCCTTCGCCGACGATCCCGACAACATGAAGCAGCAGGTCTCTTGCTTGGGCCTCAGACACGTAAAATATAGAGTAAGGCCTCACCACATCCCCTTGATGGGGCCTGTTTTCATGAGTGTGCTCTCTGAAGCCGCTGGACCGGACTGGACCCCAGAAGTCGAGAAAGCCTGGGGGGTGGTCTTCTCAATGGTTTGTGAGAGCATGTCGGAGGCCATACAGGATGGCGAGAACTTTGCTGGCGTGATGGAGGAAAGCGTTAAATTCCTAGAGGAGCCAGGCAACCAGGACAACTTGCTCAAGATTTTACGTGCGGAGTTGTCGGTTACTTGCCCGTCTATCTTCGAGGAGCTCCTCTCCCTGTCCATGTTGAAGATCAATGGAGGAATCATGGACACTGACAAGACGAAAAAGCCAAAAAAAGATAAGGGAAACTCAAAGTACGGGAATGCCAATGCATCGGAGGTAGAAGTCTTGCAATTTTTCATCATTGCGTGTTTTAAACGTATTCAGGTTTCACATCTCCTCAATGTCAGTGCGCAGAAGAAACCTCAAGGCAATGAGAATGGACAAAGTGAGTGCTGCTCTATTCAAATGATGCTGCCTTGCTCATGATTCTGTCTGGGATTGTAACTCTTCATCGTCTAGACGGGACTGGGGGCAAACAAAATCGCTCCATTCTTGGGATTGCTATCAACGAAGAAGCTGTGGTGCGAAAGCTACTTTGATTTCCCATCCTGCAGGTTTTCTTAATTTCTGAAACTTTCGTGTCATATCAGGAAGAGCTTGTCAAGAATATCTTAGGGTTTATCATGGCAGCGGCAAAACTCGTCTGGGAGCCTGAGCAGCAAATCGAACAAGTTTACATCTTTGCTCCTCGGCTGTACAGATGGTAAAGACGTAGAGGACGTTTGCAATCCACTTAGCAAGATCGGCAGGGGCATGAGGGCCTCGCACGTCCCCACTGTCGGGGAGGCATTTGAGAATGCAGCGAAGGCGACTTTGGGCAAGGACAGGCAATGCGGATGAAGTCGATGTTCTACAAGAATGACTGGTTGTTGGCAGATGGACCAATATCGTCAATGATTCGTTCCGATGGTATTGGAGGTCGATCTCGAAGGTTGAACCGGATGGGTTGATGGCGATGAATAGCTGAATTCTACCTTCAAGGCACTCTCTGGCGAACTTCTTGGCTTCGAGTCAAAGAGGAACGAAGTTGTTATGCTCAGCTGGGAGACTGTGAAACAGCGCACTGACGTCGAGGTTCACGAAGATACTCCACTTTGTATTGCTGTGTGCTGATACTCAAATTTGCAGGAGCTTGGAAAGATCTTCTGGAAGCACTTGAACGATTTGGTATGCAGCACCTTGCTCTCGTCGTCTCCTTCAACTAATCAGAACTTTGATATAGTCGCCGGAACAAACTCATCTCTTCCGTCGCTCCCTCAAGATGTACAAAACTATTTTCTGCTTACACATACACCTCCTGACTTCGTGGCCACAGGTGGGGCCATTTGATCCATCACATCATGGCAATGCTTATGATGAGTATATCTGACCCCGAGGTACTTTCCTCCCCTGCTGTGCTGCGATCTCAAGCCTCTTCCAGGGGTTCTTCGAGCAGCTCTTCGAGTTGACCATTCGTCACATCCGTTACGGCGTTCGATCGGAATACCTCGGACCGTTCGGAAACGCCCTCATCTGCACTGTGCAAGAGGTTGGATGGGCTGTGAGATCATTCGTGTTCCTCATGGGCCCTTTGCAGATCCTTGGAGAGACTTGGAGTGACCGCGCAAACAGCGCCTGGTTGTCGGTGAGTCACATGACAACCTTTGCTGTCACCTTCACGAGTACATCACTTTCATCCATGCAATCAAACGAGAAATTGGGCATGCGATGCTGAACTGTTCCTCTGCGCAGATCTGGAAAAGAGCTGCGAACAGCATCTCTAAGGGATTGAACATGGGTGGAAATGCTATCACGCATGCCCTTGTCGGCGGAAACGTCGACGCGTTGCAGCAGGCAATTGCATCAGCTCCCCGAAATTTACGATCGGAATGGCTCTGCCAGGTATATTGATTGTCTCTATCGATGAATGTCATCAACTTGGAACGTTGATTTGAGAAGTCACACATGATGGGTATTGACACGATGGTGATTTTGGTTCTCTAGATTGATATCAATGGCGCGGTAATCTCTCCGCTGTATTGGGCATTGCACGATGGCAAGTACGCCATTGCAGAGTTTATCATCAGGTATCACAAATTTTTCTTTCATGTTGTGAAGTGAATGTCAAATGCAGTGATCTCCTAACAATTCGTGCGGACATTCACGGATACTACTACGGGAGAGATGTATGTGGATTTTAGCAAGGAATCATGCCTGAACCATCGCCGTAGGTTCTTTTTAAGTACCATGACGATCTCCTCGGCGAGCTGGGACGAGAAAGTCCCAGTCTGCTGACCACTTTACTGGATGGTCTGCTCTGGCATTCGAAAGAGAAGATGCAGGGACGCAAGGTGAGGGTCGATGGTGTTGGCAAGCCGACGCCAGACTGACCGAATTCAATCAAGATCCGTGTCAACTATTACATCGAAGACATCTACGGCAACCCTGACAAGTCTAAGGATCCCTGGACTTCGCCGTTGGCTCGCCTTGTGGCCCTCGGTCCGTTGCTTCAATTGATTCCGTGTGCTCTTACATGTCCTTTGCAGGCGACAATCAAACGTTCAGACACCCAGCAGTGTGCAAGACGTTGGATCTCAAATGGAAGAAGTTCGGGCTGCAGATCTTTTGCTTGAAAGAGTTCTGGTACGTGATCATGCTCGTCGCATTCATGTGCGGGCACGTGCAAGACCCTTCCGCCTGCGACGATTCGCTGCAAGTAAGCATGGCTGCCGTGGCACTTGCTCGTCTTGACATGTGGTTGCTCAGTGGGTCAGAGACCTTTTGATGAGCATGGCAGTATGCACGCTCGTCCTGCAGGTAAACGGATTGTGGGGATGGGACTTGAATCTGACTTGCTGCCGGCAGATGTGGGTGGTGGTCTCTCATCTCAGGAAGGGGTTGATGATCCCCATCAAGATGGGATCTGTCACGATTCATTTCCCAAGGTGCCAAGTTGTGGGGAAGGGTTGTTGTGCTCTGACAGTCTTCGTGTTCTTACAGGGCGATCGCAAGTATCTGGAACCTCCTTCGGATCACTTCTTGCATCCTCCTCATCTTCATCTTCGCTACTCACGTTCCGGTGACGCCCGTCACTCCACCAGTCGGCCTCTGATTGATCCTCAAGGTTTGTGTCAACGAAGAATGCCTCGCCAGCACAGGAAACGTCACAGCCTGCATCGTGAGTGGTCGATCACATGGTGAGCTGAACATAATGGGGATGAGCCGGACATGTTGGGTGACTTGGGTTGGCAGCGAGTGTGGCAGACGACGGGGTCTCCTCCCACTTCCGGAGACTTCTCGCTGCGGCGAAATCGGGCGGAGCAGTTACCTCCGCGACCGGAGGATCGTCCACACAGAAGGACATGAGCGATCGAGCGGGATGGGCAGTGGTCTCCATCATGTTGTGGGTGCAGATGTTCCAGGTGATGAAGATCGCTCGTTGATGCTTATCTCGTTTTCCTCTTTCTCATTGTCTCCTCTGCTGCTGCATCTCACTCCGAGAGTCTCACTGAATGTCGACACCCACAGGTCAGCATCCTGTCGACGACCATGGCAGCGTTCACCTACACCATCGGGATCATGCTTGACGATTTGAGCCATTCGCTCATCATGATTCTCATCTTGATTGCTGGTGACACACGATTGTTTTCCTCCCCTGCTGCTCCACCTCCCCAATATGAGGGTGTAGGCCTCCTGACCTGACGTATGTGCAGCGTTTGGCTCTGCTCTTTCCATCCTACATGACAGCCCGTTCAACGAGGGGTGGGACTCTACGACTGTCATCCTCTTCCAAGAGGTGAGCTCTACTTTGATCCTCTGTACTCCCCTCCTCCTCCTCCTCCTCTGCCTCTTGCACCTTTTCTCTGCATCCTCTCTCCACGTCAGCGTACCCTTCTCTCTATCCCCTACCTCTCTGCGCTGTATCTGTCGTCACTCACGCGCAATGTCGTCCTCACTTGGCTTCAGGTGCTTGGAGTAGCTCAGCCAATGTACGCAGACATCTCGTCGTTGACCAGATTCCTCCTCCTTTCCTTCGTCACGTGAGTTGCATCCTTTCATGCTCTTCGGTCGCTGAAATCTCTTCAAGTTGCGTCACGGTCGGCATGCTCAACATCCTCATCGCTCAGCTCACCATCACCTACGATAAGTTGACCTCGGACAAGGAGGGGTTTGCGATGAAGCACAGGTAGGGAGAAGACAAAGGGAGGCTTGCCGGGTGCTGAGATATCATGCGCAGGGCAAGCATCTGCCTTGACATTGAGTCGTTCCTTCCGAAGAAATGGAGAAGGTCAGATGCTATCCTGACGTTCTACTACCTCCTTCTCGGCCACTTACTCTTCTCTCCTCCTTTTCCGTCATGGTCTTCTCTCAGAACCTTCCTTTTTCCTCCTCCCTCCACCTCCGCCCTCCTATTTCTCGTTCCTTTCCCTTCCCCAAGTCTGACGAGCTCGAGCAGGAAATTCTTCGCGGAGATGAAGTTTGACAACCCTCTTCCCTTCACCATGAGCGATATGGGTCCAGGAGGGGGCATCCAGGTGAGGAGCGGCTGGGTTGCCCTGCAGGAGCTCCTGACCCCTGCTGCTCAGGCCTTCGAGCGAGATGACGCGCCGCGTTACGTTCCTGACCGCATCCTCCGATTCACGGGCGACGCGTCGCCATCGGACCCCTGGCCTTCTATCGACGATGATGACAATCATGAGCAGGAGGAGCAGGAGGAGCAGGAGGAGCAGGAGTGAAAAGTTAATTAAGCTGTTGAGCAGCAGGTTGTTGTACTATGAGATGATAGCATTTGTTTGTTTGAATAATTCCTCGTGTCTTGAACCATCTGGGGCACCTTCATCCGAACATCTTCTTGCAGATGTTCTTCTCCTTGTCCAGTCTCTTCTGCAGCTTTAACCCCAGCTGCTCAACAGAATCAACTGATGTCAAACCTGGTCAAAGTCCCCTCACCCTCTTTGACAGCGCAGTGTAGTTGGGATTTTCCGGCTCCTCCTCCAGCAGGACTTTGGCATCTTTCTCTGCCTCGTCAAGGAGGTTCATCTGCTCGTACGCCAGGGCCCTTCGAAACTTGGCTTTGCTGAGCGAGGGAGAGTAGCGAAGGCAGTCGTTGCAGTTGTCGATGCATTTCTGAAACTGTAGACGAGCGTGAGAAAAGGAGGCGGAAATGAGAAGAAAGAGGAAGAGAAAATGAGAAGAGAAGAGAAGAGAAGAGAAGAGAAGGAATACTCTCAAAAATTAGGATGGAGGAGGTTGAAAAGGAGGGATGACAGGGATGGCAGGGATGGCAGAGACGAAGATGGAGAAAGCAGCAGGAACGAGCATAAAGATGAGACACGGGACGAGGAAGGGAGTACTGGGGAGCAAGAAGTACAGGATGAAACGGAAGAGCAGGAGTAGGTGCAGGAGCAGGTGGTTGTGGTTGTGTTGGTGAAGTTGGAGGAGGAGGTAGACAAGGAGGTACGAGCCTTGTTGAGTTTGAAGAAGGCTTGTGCGAGGTTGAGGACGATGACCCCCTTCAGCTCGTTCAGCTGCTTCTCCTGCCGAGCAAGTTGCATCACATCAGCCCCTCCTGGCCTCCTCCTTTACCTGCTCCGGCCTGAGAGTCTCTACGATCTTCATGCAGTGCCTGCTGCGGTGTGAGGAGAGGGAGAGGGACGGCAAGGGAGAGGCAGCTGCGAGTGGAGGAAGGGGTGACGTTGAACTGATTACAACGAAGCTGCTTGGTGGAGGGGAGGGGAGGGGAGGGGAGGAGGCTCGGAACCCTCACCCGATCGCCTTGTTGTAACGGTCGATTGCATGCATGACATTGCCGTCACTGCCAGGCGGAACAGATTGTGAGAAGGGAAGGAGGGAAAAGTGGAGGAAGGAGAAAGGACGAGGGAAGGGAGGCCAGTGGAGGCAGAAAGGCAGGAGGTAAGAGGGCAGAGAGGCAGAGGGAGAGGGAGGGAAGGAGAGGGAGGGAAGGTGAAGGATTGACCGAAAGAGCTCGTTGGCTTCCTTCTTGTTGTTCTCTGCCATCCTGACTCTGCCATGTAGATCAGGGGTGGTGCAAGAGGAAAAGAAGGGAGGAAGAGGATGGAGGAAGAGGATGAAGGAAGGGAGGGGGGGGGGTAGGAGAGGGAGGGAGGAAGGGAGGAAGGGAGGAAGGGAGGAAGGTTAAGACCTCTCATCGAAACGAAGCTTTCGGAAGTCGTGGTCGTCTTTCTGCAGTAGCAAGGGATTATCATTCTTGTGCAGTTCCTCCACCTCAATCGTATACACTTTCTTCCCCCTCTTCGCACATCCTTCCCCACCCCAACCTGCTATGATCCTTCTCTTCCTCCTCAAGACCAACATAAACACGAATCGTCATGATCACCACCACCACCACCACCACTATCGTCATCTCACATCCTGATTCGCCTCCTCTTGTCTTCGCTCCTGAGCACTTCGCTCCATCTGCTTGACTTTCAGTCTCTGCTCGTCACCTTCTCAACCAACCGATCGACTCATTTCGTCCGCCTGCTTCTCGAGCTGCTCGAACATCTTCGAGTTGAGCTCGCGAACCTTCAGCTCTGAGGCCTCGAAGTCAGCGAGGAGGGGAGGAGGGAGGAGGAAGAGGAGGAGAGGAGGAGAGGAGAGGAGAGGAGAGGAGAGAGGAAGAAGAGTAGGAGAGGAAAGAAGAGAAGAGGAGAGAGAAGGGGAGGAGGGAGGAGGGAGGAGGGAGGAGACAGATAAAATGAGGAGAAGATACAGAGACAACAAATGCCAGGGAGTTATAGGAGAGGAGACTATACAAGGAGACGATCAAGCAAGGGGGAAGGAGAAGAATGAGAAGAAACGAGGAAGTCAGGAGTAGTGTCATGGTACTACCTAACTCTTCTTTCTTCTTCTCCAACATTTCAACGGAATAACCCTCCTGCCCAACACGAGACATGAATGCCCCCCAGCCCTCCATCTTCTCCCTCCCCCCTCGTCCCCTTCACCTCTCTTCCCCTTCCCCTTCCCCTTCCCTCTCTTCTCGAACATTCCTTTCCAATCTTCTCTTGTCTCCTCCTCCCCCTCCTCCTGTTCTAGTCTGCTTTCGTCCTCTCTCCCAATCTACCCCTTCCTTGCCCTCGTCATCCTCTTCCTCTTACCTGAGGGACCTGCTCCAACCATTCCTCCACCTCCTTCAAGGCCGACTGGATGAAACGAAAGTCTGTCAATCTCCCTTCCTCCTCTCACTCTCTCAGATTTCACCTCCGTCTCGTCACGCTTCATAAGGTGAGCATGTTTTCCCCGAAGAGCTTCTCTCGTCTCTTCACCAAAATTTCAATATGAAAATTGTCATCAACATTGCCATCATAATCTTTATCATATCGCTTCCATCGTCTACTTCATCCTCTTTCCCATTCTTCTCATCCTCATCCTCATCATCATCCGCTTCTCATCACCTGACATCTTCGACTCGAGGTTGTTCATGGCGACTTCTAACCTTCTCAACTGAGCCTGCATCTCCGAGATCTTTACACGCAGGCGTCAAACGGAAGAAGAGAAAACGTGTAACAAGTTACCTCCATGTGCTTCTCTCTCAGTCCTTTCAAATGGGATTCCTCCAAGCCTTTCACTGCCGTTGGGTGCAGCAGATAAAGCAGGTCAATGGATCTTGCGAGAAACAATCCGGCATAGTGTAGTTCTGACAAGCAGACACGGCAGAGACACAAAAAAAAGCAAGATGAACACAAGTTTGAAGCAACGTCATCACAATTGCACGTCCAAAGCAGCGGCAACAGCAGCACAAGTTTTCACCGTCGAAGCTCTTGAGAGCGTTTTGAAGGTTACAGTCTTTCTTTTCTGACAAGACCATTCATCTCTTCTGCCTGCTGATTGATAACCTTCTTACCTTGGCTGACCGCAGGATCAAAGAATTGAGCAGCGGGGTTTGCTGCCCCAATACACAACTGCACAAAAGATCAAACAGATTGCAAAATCTTGCAACATTCGCTTCTCCTCTCTGATTTCATCTCCCCCTTTTCCTTCGGTCTTCACCTGCCAGCCTCCAACCTCGATCTCTCTAACTCTTCGCATCACGACCTGTTCTCTCTGCACTCTCCATCAAAGTCTGTTACACTACATAGCAGGACTTCACTATCTGGATATCTAGCTCCACTTCCTTCCTCCTCTCCGGGCTTATCACCACAACTCGCACCCTCCTCCTCACGCACTAGCACGTACCGCACTGTTAGAGTCGAGGGTCTTGCGGAGCTCCTTGCCGTCGAACGCGCTCTGAGGAGGATTCAGCGGAGAACCATCAGCTTCAGACCCTAGTCCCTTACCTGCACAACAGCTGCCAGGCAGGGGATACGGGAGGCGCCGCCGATGATTTCAACTCCGTCCAGGGAAGAGCCTTCGATAAACGAGTCCTCCGTCTGCAACGTCGACTTGACAAGCTGGGAAGGAGCTGCGTCAGCGGCCCGGGGAGAGGATGAAGGGGTCGGTCGGGAAAGGGGCAGAGGAGACAAGGTGAGACTGGGAGGGGAAGGAGGAAACAGAGAAAGGAGCATTGGGAAGTTGAGAGGAGGGAGGCGGGGGGAGGGGGAGGGGAAAGAAGAGGGAGGGAGGGAGGGAGGGAGGGAGGGAGGGAGGAAGGGAGCGACGTGGAGGGTGTTGGTGAGAGGAAGGGAGGAGGTGGAGGGGAAGGGAGGGGGAGGGAGGTAGTAAGAGGCAGGGGGAGGGGGGAGGAGGGACAACCAAGTTTTCACCTCTTGGAGTTGATGGCAGAGAGGAGCAATCATCTCGTTCAGACGGTGCCGGGTCAGTTTGATGGTCACGTCACGTTCCGGCAGCAGCCCGTCGACACCAACCTGGCAAGCGGAGGTGAAGGGGGAACGGCAGGAAGTCCTCAGGTTCTCACCTCTGACTCATCGATCGTCGACAGCATCTTCTTGAGCTTCTCGCACGCGGCCCGGAGGCGGAACAAAGATCGGGGAGACTCGCAGCAACCACTCCCGTACTTCCTCTCGATATCTTCCTTGAAGTGCGAGACCAGGATGCTGTCGACGGCTGCACCTCCGACGCCAAAGATTGACTTGGCAGAGACGATCTGAGTGAAGAGCGTCAATAATGCTTATCGTACTATAGACACCATCATCATCGCCACCATCATCATCTCCACAACCACTACCTCCGACACCAACATCATATCCATCATCATCTCCATCTTACTACCACCGCCGCCGCCGCGGCAACCACCACCACCGTCATCTCAACAATTTCCATCATCATCATCTCCATCATCATCATCATCTCCATCATCATCATCATCTCCATCATCATCACCACCACCGCTCTCTCGTTCACTTCACTTGCTCTCCTCCCAACCTTGCTCTCTCCTGGCGTGAAGCGGACTATGGCACACGAAGAGATCATGTGCCCAACATCCACTATAGCGATCGTCTGCTCCTTCACGGAAGAGTTCCTCATCTGCTCGATCTCTGGCTTGTGCCGCTGCTCGTACCCCTGCGCCATAGCCTGATGCGCGGGGACCAGGTATGCGTCCTCCACCCCTGCGATCCTACACGCGTCCTCTAGCGCCCTGGCCTGCCGAGGAGTGAAGCAGCCAGGCAGGATGACTGCCAGTCGGATGTCAGCCGCGTCCTTGGATGGTACTTTCCTCATCTCCACGAGCTGGTGCTTCGCGCAGCCCACTACTCCCTCCAGGTGCCTCGCAAGTACCAGCTCGAGGGGAAACGACGAGTCACTCCCATCGAACTCGACAGCCGCGCACGTCACGGGCAGCACGTCATCATCGGATACCCTGAAGCCTGGAGCAATAGCCGCCTCCCTCACCTCTCTTGGAGGCAGCCCGACGTAAGGGACAAACTCCTTCACGACATTGTGCGCGTTGGTTGCTGGCTGCATGGCGGCAAGCTCTCCGGTCTCGCAGGTCTTTCCTCGGAACGAGACCTCGGTCGGAGTCTCGAAGCGGGAGAGGTCATTGTGGACGAGGAAGGGAGGAGAGGTCGACCCCTCCTCTCCTACCTTCACCAGGGAAGCCATAGTCTTCTGGGACCCGAAGTCCACAGTCAGCACCCAGCTGCTTCTGGCTTGCTCGCCACCTTCAGATTCCATCTTATCGGATCCTCCTCGCAACGGACGGAGATGAGGGGCTGGACGTTTGAGGATCGGGGATGCCGGCAAGAAGGAAGCAGAGCAGACACGGAAAAGGATCAGCACGAGGCCGATCCGGAATGGATGCATTATGGATGGGAGCGAAGGAGACGATGGAAGAACTCGGAGGGAGAGGATGTACGAGCAGCAGGGGATACACAGCCAGGGGGTCTGGGACAGGGAGGAGGAGGAGGAGGAGGAGGAGGAGGAGGAGGAGGACGAGGGCGAGCGGTGTGAGGTATGCGAGTTGATCCGCCCTGCGCTCGCAAGTTCCCAGACCACCCTCGGGGATTTAGTACCCTCCACATTCACCACCCTACCCCCTGTTCAGCTCGATTTTCCTTTACAAATTACCGAGCACTGAAGATCTTTGTGTTCACCCTACCCCATCATTTTCACAGTTGACAGAGGGTGCGGCCCCGGTGTCTTTGGTTGACACGGCCCGGGCCCGGCGCGGCCGGGCCCGGCGGCCCGGTATCGCTGGGCGGCGATCCGATGACTACTACCGAGTGATCCGGTGCAGCACTGCCGTACGGTCTGGCGGGAGGGTCTGTAAGACGACTGACTCCCACTTGCCACCATCACTGAGTCAGTGCCAGTGCCGGGCCCGGCGGCCGTGGCCGGACGGTTCGCCGTCATGACGACGGTACTGAGTTGAACAACATTCTACCCGGTGTTTACTGAGTTATGATGCGATTCATGTCTGCCAATTGATCTCCTTCTTGCTCTGTGCGGAAAGATACTCGTTGCAGAGAGAGAAGTGCTTGCATCCGAAGAAGCCTCGCCTAGCGGACAGCGGCGAAGGATGGGGAGCTTTCAGCACCATGTGCTTGCTCTCATCCACACTCGAGCACTTCTTTGCTGCACACGCTAATCAGGGCGACCGGCACACATAGGCGGAGCATATCAGCTACCTGCTGGCTGACCCCAGAGGAGGAAGACGAGTCCATCGCACTGCTTGTCTAGCTTGGAGATCACGGCGTCGGTGAATTTCTCCCATCCCTTCGCCTGGTGAGAGAGGGCCTGCCCAGCGCGGACAGTGAGGCAGGTGTTGAGTAGGAGAACTCCCTGCTTCGCCCATCCCTCCAAGCAGCCATGGCGAGGCCGTTGGAAGCTGACGGCTGGGTCCGACTCGAGTTCCTTGAAGATGTTCTGCAAGCTCGGCGGAGGCGCCACGCCTTGACGGACGGAGAACGCCAGCCCGTGCGCCTGCCCGGGGCCGTGGTACGGATCCTGCCCGACGATGATGACTGAGACTTGGTCGAGAGGGCAGAGGCAGAAGGCCCCGAAGATGTCTCGAGTGGGAGGGTAGACAGTAGCGCCTTTGGAAACCTCATCCACGTAGAAATCGTTGAGGTCCTTGAAGTATTCTTTGTCCGTCTCATCCGCTAGGAAATCTCTCCAGTCGCTCGGAAGTTGCTCGAGCGCCTGGTACAAGTCCTTTCCCTTGAGGCTTTCCACCGGTGGAGCATGGGCAGGTGGAGGGGAAACGCTCGTCTCTGGTTTCTTGCTCAGTCCTTGAGAGAAAGGATTGAAATACTTCTTTTGCCAGGCTGCCGTGCAAAGCAAACAGTGCGAAACATAGGGAAGTTCAGTTGAGAAAAAAGAATGACACATGTCAGTCAAGTACCTCTCTCATAGTCCACTTTGAAGGAGACAAACTCGTCCAACGGCCTCATGTCACCTATGAAAACTTCCAACGATGCAGGGGCCTTCTCCTGAGCAGGAGCAGGAGGGATCGCTACCGTCACACTAATACAACAGCAACTTTCAGCTGTTCTCCTGAAGTAGAAAGAAAATCACCAGGTGAACGACGGAGCCTCGCCCCCGGTGCCCTCACCCTGCTGCAACGAGTATTTGCGCACGTCAAGCACTGTCAGTCTTATCCCTTGAAAGTCGCTCTCGCCAGGCTTGGCTTTGCGCTTGGGGTCAGCACGGATGAGGGCTAGTATTTGATCCTTGCCCGTGGCCTCCAGGTTCTCGATCAAGCAGTTCACTTTCACTCCGCCATCGGCCGGTACCGTCTGAGGCGATGCCGACAAGACGGCCAGGGGTCGATCTGACTTTGATCCACTTGCTGTCCACCTCTCCACATCCTCCACGACTTGAGCTGCCTGGTCATGGAAGAACACTGAACTGATCGCACAGACGCCCTTCTCGTCCACGTGCTCGAGGACAGAAGCGACCTCAGCCGCTGCCACCGGCATGAATGATGCTCCATCAGCACTTGGCGCCGCGTCATCGTTGAATGCGCGGAGCGTGAGATGGGCCAGCGCTGACACGTCAACAGTGGCATCGTGCGCGTTGTCAAGAGGTTTCTTGAACTTCTCTTCGAAGAGGACACCAAGTTTGCAGACCTTGTGTCCCCTCTCTCTGAAGTAAACCAGCGTGTCCCACAGCGTGAATTCCTCCAAGGCAGAAGTAGGAAGGTTGTGCCTCCTCATCTCGTGCCCTAACAGCAAGAAATCGAACTTCAACCCGTTGTGCGCGATCAGCACCGTCCGCAAGCCCCTGCTGGCATCCAGCGATCCTCTGCACTTCTGTACCTGCTCTTCCAGCCATGCGAGGAACTCTTTTCCCTGCTCATCAAACCTGCAAGAGGAGACAACACTCAGCACTTGTTCATCCCCAGGGGTTCGACCTCACCTGGGAGTATCCGCAAGCATCTCGTTGGTCAGCCCCGTGATCGCAGAGGCTGGCGGGCTTATGGGTACACCCGGCTGAACCAATCTTGAGAACTTGCTCAACAGCTCCGCACGCGCTGACGGTTTCTGTTCTGTATCGGCACTTGTTGCCAAATCCAATGAAGGCATGATGTACGCTTCTGCCGCGATCTGTGTGATGTGGTCTGCGGCAACATCCAGGCCAGTGCTTTCAAGGTCAAAGAAGACGAAGAGCGTGTCGGTCTGCGAGCTTTGCTTTACGGCGATCTCTTGTTGTGTCTTGCTCCCGCCATGCTTGTTCGGAATCAGCTGCCCGACAAAACCAGCAGGCGTCGTCGCCAGGTGAATCTCGTCGACTTCCGAGCCAGCAGCAACCGACCCATAGTTCGACACCTGCACCAGCAGCGATCAGGAGCAACGCGCGTGATAACAAAGGAACATGTCATGTTTCAATGAAATACCATGATATCCCCACTGTCACCCGCAGCCTCCTGACCCCGCTTGTGACAAACCAATCGCACCGAAAGGACATCAGCTACGGAGGTCAGCAATGCATCGTCTGGCCACATCGGGGATCCGTCTCCTTCGCTCTTTGACATGCTGCCTGCATGGAGCCCCTGGGAGGCGAGGGATAGGATGAGGCTGTTACAATACAGCGAGCGAGCTGCTCGGTCTGCAGGGATTTCCTCCGTGCCCTGCTGCTCGTGGCGTCGCAGGACGAGAACAAGAGACGAGAAGAATTCTTTCTCAAGTGGCTCTAGACTAAGATTCTTCTCTGACGCATGCCGCATCAGCTCTTGTCCCAATCCTGCATTGCCGGCGCTGGCACTCATGGCGAGGGACCGGGGACCAGTCTGATGTCTCCTCTGCTGTTCGCCCGACAGAGCAGGAGGAATCGGGCGCAGGAAGGAGGAGCGAGGAGGAAACAACAGGCAAGAACCAGCCCTTCTTAAGGAGGAGAGCCTTGTCGCAAGTCTCATGCGAAGTCTTGGAGGTGAAAACTGTGCAGGCCTTGACGAGAGGAGGGGATTCTCAGGCGGGAGGAGGAAGGCTGAGGGTTGAGCTGTCAGAGGGAGGGGAGGAGCGGTGATAGGATAACAGAAGGATGAAGTGAGCACAGGGCATGACAACAGGAAGAGCCATCGCCACCATTGCGGCCTCGTGCTTCCCCTCCCTCCGCCATTGTCGCCCATTACATGCCCCAGGGTCGGAAAGCAAGTTTTAAGTTTGAAAGTTTTCAGATGGGGATTGACTTGCAGCGAGTCTTCGAAGTTTGAAAGTTTCAGAGTTGGGCGCCATGGCAGGATCGCGGGTGGTCGCAATGCTGTTCGGACTCGCTATGCTGTTTCCTCCTCAAGCTACGACGAGCAGTAAGACGACGGCTAGAGCTAGAGCAACACACTCTCCTTTCCCTCCTCCTTGCACCTCATCTTGCTCTCTCTCCTCCTCCCTCGTCTCCGGACTCCAGCTCCCTCCTGCCATCCCTCGACCTCTCCGCCTACACGGTGGAGGGGAGTATAACAGATCCTGGGAGTATGTAAGTTTAACGAGACTTTAGTGTGTGTTATCAAGAGTCTGACATCTTGACATCGCAAGTCCTACAACATGGGAGAGCCTTCGGTACATAACCACTCTCACCCTTTCCGGGGAACTCGCTCTGACCGCATGCAGGTGTGGGCAGCTGCGAGAGTGGGAGACGAGGATACCGTGATGAGATGTAAGAGAGATTGAAGATAAGATGTAGTGAGCTGTTATGACCAGTCTGCTTCCTTCCCAGTGGTAGAGGAATCAGGCCCGGACGCACGAGATGAAGATGGAAGGACAGCTTTGCATTGGGCCAGCACTGTTGGGAACGAGCGAGTTGTCGAGAATCTGTTGAGTTGCGGAGCAGACATAACCATGTAAGCTTTTCTCGTTCAATGCCTCATCTCATACGATGTCTCTTGTGATACAATTTCTCCTCTGAGAACATGACTGCAGTCAAGATTCTATGGGCTGGACAGCAGCGCACTGCGCGACAAGGCATTCAAAGTTGCATGATAGCGGGTAGCGACTGATGCAACCCGCAGCAGCGGGAGCTTGAGCGTATTGAAGGTGTTGCTGCAAGCATGCCAGAACCGAGGTACGAGGATGAAGGACCTGGTGAGAAGAGCTGAGAGTGATAAGATTCCCTCTAGGGGAGGAATGCCTCTTGAACATAAGGACCAACGAATACCGGCATTCATTGCTGCATTTCGGTACCTTGCCCTCCCTGCGCCTTCTTGATTTGACTTCCGTGACAGCATGCATGAAAAATCGCACCAACATCGTGGAGATGCTACTGGACGAGTATGGGGTAGACTCGTATCGCCTCTCACCTTCACGCTCACTCCAGCTGTAGATGCCAATCAACGATGGCGACAGTACAGGAAGCACACCGCTGATCCTGTGCGTCAAACCTTGGCCGCTGTTTGCTATCAGCTCATACTTGACATCAGAGCAACAAGAATCGGATCTTTGTCGATCTTGCAAGCTCTGCTTCAACGAGGAGCAGATGTGCACGGTCGTGACCTGTGAGCTCCTGCTGCATCTAGTGCTGGCATGCTGAGATTGTATCAGGGAAGGCAATACCACCTTCCACTTCGCGTGCGAGATTCTCAAAGATTCATCCCTCAACAACGAACTGGCCTGGAGCACTATCCAGCTTCTGCTGGAGCATGGAGCGAGCCCCATTGTGGTGAACCATGTGGGGGAGATTGAAAACCTATTGCTTGAGGCTCAGCTTGCATTGTAGGCAGACATTTCGCCCGTCGATGAATTGAGTTTCGAAGCTGCAAGGATGGTATAGATATATGCTTATGTACATCTCGCGAGCTCTGATTCCCTTTCAAGCTTTCAAGAATGCAGAACGAAGTGAGAAAGAAGAAAAATCTCTCAAGCAGGTACATTCTTGCGTGAGACGTGCCAAATTGCGGTGTAGGTTGTGTCCACTCCACTGAACATTTCATCCGACACGATTTTTTGTGTCGTCTCTTGTTCGATGATCACGAGCTCTGCTCAGGTCGGAGGCAGAACAATCCTTGTTGGAACAAGAAGTCTTTGAGGTCTTCCTCAGAATGGCCTCGGAGCATTTTTTTAACATCTCTCGACAGAAAGGTAGGATCGGGGCGGACGACGCGGTTGTGAAACACCATGACAACTGCCGAACAAACTGGTGCCTTCGCTACCAAACGATTGGAAACTGACTGACGAGGCTCGTGCAGGGAGAAGGAGCACGATGAAGACATGTGCACACGCGTCTACCTTTGACACATGCCTCCACGCACTGATGAGGTAACCTGTCACTCGTTCCAGACATACTCGTGAAAACGTTTACTGAAGGCTGCTTAAAGTAACTCACGGAACAGTCCGTGTTATTCAAATTATGGTGTCTGGGGTACGCCCAACGATGATAGAGATTACATGTAAATAAGGAGGGTACGGAGTAAAGGTCTGGTACTCAGTTACCTGCGGTACACTACTGAGGAACGAGGCATTTCAGTTCAACAAACGATCTCACCCGCTACGATGCGACTTGCAGTCTTGCATGCATCTCCACACTTGGTGTAGTCGATCCTATGGCTCTCGATAGCATGGTAAGCGTCCTCGTCTTCCTGCCTCTGCTCTAATGTGTCACACGCGGAAAGGGGATGAAAGGATCTTGCCTTCTCCGACGACATCTCGTCTATCTTGTTGCGAAGTTTCTGCTGTCTGGTCTTGGTGATCGCAAGGTCTGCATCAGAAGCTTCTTCATCCTGCAGAGCCTTCCTAGCTTGGTACATGGCTTCCCTGCCCCTGAACCCACGCAGTCTATGTCTCTCATGAGCGAGTGAAGCCTTGATGCGGCTCCAGTACTGTTTCTCTGCGCTATCGCGTGCAGCTTTCTCTAAGGACTCGTGCTGGCTCATCATCGCCTTCCTCACATTCTGAGCCACCTGCATCTGAGCTTTCGTCCATGGTTTCGCAACTGGTTTGGGGGCAGGTGCCGCCTTGTGTGCACTCCCCTTGCTCACAGCATGAGCAGCCTGAACCACCATGTGAGCAGATCTGCAGATCTCATGAATCTGCGACTCACATGCTGTGACGAAGTTGATGCTGCACTGGGTCCCTTCTTCACATGGTGAGAAACGGGGCGCTGGCCTGCTCCAGTGAGAACGTTTGCCTCTGGTACAATGAAGAGCTCCTGGAACTCTGCACCCGCCGACTTCTGCATGCCAAGATATGAGAAACGATGAGTGCCAACATGTCATCGTCACCTGCTCCAGTAGCGATGACTTCTGCCCCCCCTGTCACGAGCAACTATCAAAAAATTGCCGGAAGTGTGAAAAAGGAGTGGGATATGGGAGTGCAGTGGAGAAGAGAATCATGAGAGGCGGAATCAAACATGGAGGACCTTAGAAAGCAGGCTGGTGAAGAGTATGAGAGCGGCACAGGCCATGGCGGCTCTACCCACGAGCAGCATATTGCGCTGCATGGCCGAAGAGCCGCTGTTGCAATGAATAGGGGGAGGCTGGCTGATTTTTAAAGCAAGAAAAATGGTTTAAGCTAATCTGAGGAACACTGGCCCGCCCGCCCGGCCGTTCACTGTCACCGTCACCGTCCACTGTTGCCGGCCCGCCGCCGGGCCGCCGAAGTTCCGAGTTCCCGGGGCCCGGCGGCGGCGAACTTCCGGACGGTTCGGAGTCACTGGGCTGCAAAACGCGGGCCGGAGGCCCCGGCGAGAGTCCTGGCAAGCCGAAGCCCGCGGCCCGGCGGCCTGTTCCGAGGGCCTGAGTTCATCACCCGGAGGCTCCGTCTGTCACAGTGCGTCAGCCGGGCCCTCGGAGTCGGAGGCTCAGTCAAGGAGCGCGGCCCGGCCTACAGTAGTGACTGAGTCGGAGCACCGTTCCGGTGGCAACGGCCCGGTTGGCAAGCCTGCACTGTGACTCTGAGGCCCCGCCCGCGAGTCACTGTCACGTTTCCCGTGATGGCAGATACTTTTGCGGTCATGACCGTACTACCGTACTCACTGCCACGGACTCTCCGATTGATTTACCGTCGTACGGTACGGTAATGTCAGACGGTCGGACTCCCCGGATCTGGCGGACTGAGTGGATCAAGGGCCAGCAGCAGCTCCGACGATCGACTCTCAGCCTGTCAGCCAGTGAGACCTCGACATAACAGTACTACCAGGCACTGACGCAGCCTGATCGGATCAGAATTTTGCCAGTCCGACCGTAACGGGGGTGACGGTCGTCAGGGTCGTGAAGGTATTTCCCGAGCAGCTGCTGCAATCTAGCCTCTGAGTTCCTTAGACTTCTAGGATCTTGACATGTGTATGCATATCTGAAGAATGGAAAAGCGTTGACGTTTCAAGCTCTTGGGACTCAAGCTCTTGGAACTCAGAGATTCAAGAAAACTTACAGTAGCATGCCAGTTTTTGCATTGAATCAGTCATTTATTGACTCGATAAACATCTCTATACACAAGCTTCGTCTACATTCTCTCGACCTACACAATGACATGCTCTTGCTTCCATTGCATTCCGTCCTACCCCTCCTCGTGTCCCTCGTCCTCGATCCCAACCTCGGAAGTGTAGCGCATCCATTCCTTACGATCAAGCGCCCCCTCCTGTCCTCGCCGATGTAGTCGCTGGGGCAGCTGGTAGCATAGTCCTCGTCTCGGCTGGCGCTGATGTCGTCTGCCAGCTCCTGGTGCTCGGCTCTCGATGGTGTCTTCTCCGACGTCTCCCAGTCGTGCAGGAAAGCAAGCTCGGCCTCATGGGAGTCAAGGAGAGAGAAGTCGCAGATGAGGTTGGCGCTGCTGCTGACGGGGCTCACACAGGCCGAGGAGCCCCATAGCTCGATGAAGGCGCTCATGTCTGTTGGTGGCATGCTGTCGCGGCTCGTCATGGTGCAAGAGTTGTGTGCGGAGCGACGGTCAAGCTTCTTATGTACGGGAACGGGGGAAATGCACACCCCCTGATGAGGCCCTGTTGGCACCCCGTCTTATCCCCATGAAACCACCCCACCCTCAGGACCGGCTAGAGGATTCTCCCCGAGTCTGTGGCTCTCTCGGGCGCATCGGTTGTGCTCGAGTCTCACCCGCTGACTAACCGGCGCCGTGCTGATGCCGTGATCCCGGCCTCGCTTCCCGCTCCACCGGTCCTTGGGAGGTGAGATCTAGACCACCGGGTGGTGTAGGAACCGGAGACATGCTCCAGGGATCTGGAGGAGCTCGAGGAGGTGCGGTATGACGGTCAACGAGTAAAAAGCTTTATCATGTCAACCTTCTCTGGCTCTCTTGGCCCCCAGATGCGAAGGGCTAGAGCAGCTCTCACGGTCCTATTGCCCGTCAGCAAGGCCACGAATCCTCCTCCGCTTCCCGTGTACGGCTTCAAATCCATCGCTTGCTTCCGGCCGGAACACCTCCGCCCTCCTGCCTGCCCAAAGCTGAATTGCTGTATAGCTTCCTCAAGTCATTTGCTCGTTCCCTGCCTGCCCTTGTCCTGCTGTGTCACCCATGTCCTTCTTTCCTCCTACCCACCCGCTCTCTTTCGCCCCTCTTAGCCCCTCCTCCCAGCTCCAGGGCCCCTCGCGCGCCAAGCAGCTCGCCTGTCTCCAGGCGTCCATCCGCCTTATCCAGTCGGGCAAGCCTGTGGTCGGGGCGACGGGGGACCTGATCCTGATGAGACCGTCTGCTGCTCGAGTGAGGGTCGAGAGCGAGGAGGGAGAAAGCGCGAAGGCCGGGAGGGCAAGACAACAGTGTATAGCGAGGGCGACATCAACGTGAAGAAGCGATTACGTAGAATATTTTGATACAATAGTATGTAAATGTGTGTTGAATGAATCTTAAGCTTTTCCTGCATAGTCTTGAATCTACTCCATACACTGGCACAACTGAGCTTGAGTACACTGGCGCCGAGAATCTAAACGCCATCATCTTGCAAGGAACAAGGGCTGGAATCATCATATAATAACGTCGACACGATTGCATGCATGCACTAACGGAAAGAGATTTTGAGGGGCCTGTGCCTGTACATCGGGAAGAAACTCAACTCACTTGTCTCTCGATAGACCTTTACATAGATATACATCTTATTACAATCCTATACTCGCTTCTTCACGTTGATGTCGCCCTCGCTATACACTGTTGTCTTGCCCTCCCGGCCTTCGCGCTTTCTCCCTCCTCGCTCTCGACCCTCACTCGAGCAGCAGACGGTCTCATCAGGATCAGGTCCCCCGTCGCCCCGACCACAGGCTTGCCCGACTGGATAAGGCGGATGGACGCCTGGAGACAGGCGAGCTGCTTGGTGCGCGAGGGGCCCTGGAGCTGAGAGGAGAGGCTAAGAGAGGCGAAAGAGAGCGGGTGAGGAAAGAAGGACATGGGGCGAGTTGACTGGAGGGCAAGGTAGACGACAGGAAGCAACAGGAGGAGGCTAATAAATAGACTTGAAAACTTCTGAGCGAGCTATGGGAGGTACCGTGGTACCGTGACTCAATTTGTGAAACTTGAGTCCGGGACCCACTCTCGCTTCAGGTTGACGAGTCATTCGTGTCGGCACGGCGCTGGTCATGGCGCAACGACTTTGTTAGAGAAAAGCTTTTTACTCGTTGACCGTCATACCGCACCTCCTCGAGCTCCTCCAGATCCCTGGAGCATGTCTCCGGTTCCTACACCACCCGGTGGTCTAGATCTCACCTCCCAAGGACCGGTGGAGCGGGAAGCGAGGCCGGGATCACGGCATCAGCACGGCGCCGGTTAGTCAGCGGGTGAGACTCGAGCACAACCGATGCGCCCGAGAGAGCCACAGACTCGGGGAGAATCCTCTAGCCGGTCCTGAGGGTGGGGTGGTTTCATGGGGATAAGACGGGGTGCCAACAGAGCCTCATCAGGGGGTGTGCATTTCCCCCGTTCCCGTACATAAGAAGCTTGACCGTCGCTCCGCACACAACTCTTGCACCATGACGAGCCGCGACAGCATGCCACCAACAGATATGAGCGCCTTCATCGAGCTATGGGGCTCCTCGGCCTGTGTGAGCCCCGTCAGCAGCAGCGCCAACCTCATCTGTGACTTCTCTCTCCTTGACTCCCATGAGGCCGAGCTTGCTTTCCTGCAAGACTGGGAGACGTCGGAGAAGACACCATCGAGAGCCGAGCACCAGGAGCTGGCAGACGACATCAGCGCCAGCCGAGACGAGGACTATGCTACCAGCTGCCCCAGCGACTACATCGGCGAGGACAGGAGGGGGCGCTTGATCGTAAGGAATGGATGCGCTACACTTCCGAGGTTGGGATCGAGGACGAGGGACACGAGGAGGGGTAGGACGGAATGCAATGGAAGCAAGAGCATGTCATTGTGTAGGTCGAGAGAATGTAGACGAAGCTTGTGTATAGAGATGTTTATCGAGTCAATAAATGACTGATGGAATGTACACCCTTGCAAACGAACACCTTAAGAATAGGAGAGCTTTCACAACCAGGTCGATCGAGTTGGAAGGAGCTTCTAAACAGCTGGAGTCTTTGTAGTCTAATTTAAAGAGGTGCGGTTCAATGGTCGAGGGAATCTCAAGCATCGTGGGCTAAGTTTACAGATCGTTTTAACGTTAATCGCAGACATTTCTAATGATTCAGTCGGAAGGCTATAGCTCGCACGGCATAGTCGTCATCACAACTCATTTGACTTCTGCAAGGCAGTCAGAGCAGCGAGTCTTCAACATCTCTTTCTTTTCTTCCTCACATCAGCTCGTTCAGTCGAGTATCTTTGGGCTCGCACAAGCTAGCAAGAAGCTCTAGCCCAGCGACCCTGACATGTTTGAGTTCTTGTCTGGTCATCTCCAGTGCTCGAAGTATGATATCTTCCTTCTGGCTGGTGTCAGAGGCAAATCTGACGAGCAGAGACATGATGTCAAAGTGTGAGGTAGTAGTTTCCGCCTTCAGTCTGCATCAGCACATCAGCACATGTCATCAGCATTGTCTTGATCATCATCGTTGTCCTCCACCTCCATCCTCATGCCCATCATCATCACAAATCAACATGTGGACAAGAGACCTCTTGAATAAGCCAGCAACCATTTTTTGCTGGATGTCTTTGTCCGTTTGCTCCAAGACTTTCGAGCACTGCATGTTTGTTTACAAACCTTTGAAGCTTCAGAAGCTATTTCACTCACACTCAACCTCATCGTTGCGTTCTCACTTCCCACCCTGTCACAAGAAATAAGACTGCGTGCCAGCAGTCGAGTCCAACGAGCATGTTTCATGTACTCATCACCTCTCCAGAAGCTCTCTGATGAGTTTGTCCTGTGCTCTTGCAATCCTCGTCCTTGTTTGAAACCAACAAGAGCAATCCAAGTGAGCTGCTCGATACTTCACGCCCATCAGCTCAGAGTCGCACAGCTCTCTGGTAGAACTGCCGATGCTGTCCTCCATGTCTGACATTGCCATATCGCAGGTGGACCAAGTTTGATCCTCTTCCTCCTCAGTCGCTTCGCACATCTTCATGGTGTTGCTTCATATGTGTTCAGGATTTTCTTCAACGTACCTTCACAGCCCCAAACTTCATGGCATACGTCAAATCACAAGAGCCCTGTTGTGATAATCATCTCAAACGATTTGACAATGCAACCCGCTCTTTCCTGTAGTTGAATAAGCTGCTTGCCGGATTCCGTTGTCCTCAACCAAAGGTATACGAAGAAAGTTGATTGAGAGAAGTCAACTCTTGACATGTCTCTCTCAACATCTACTGTAAACTCTGCTTCAGCTTCTGTTGAGTCGACTTCTGACTGTGATGGTCGTCGAGTGTCAGTCGTAAGCGGAGATCAAAACAACCCTCATAAGGCACATACTTTGACACATTCCAGAAACAACGGCTTCCAAAACGCAAAGATCCGCTGCAGGACGAAAGACATCAAAAGGAAAGATCGGAGAACAAAACAACACCTCATCCGTTCTTCTGTCTATCATCTCTAGTTCATCACCTTCCCTTCTGATCGCAAAGAATTTGCTGAAGCTGAAATCGCTGGACAGAATCGGCTCTCCAGTAGCAGCATCGTAATAATTGTAGGGTCCTTGATACAGCCAATTCCTTCTGTTCCTTGAAGGAGATCAGACGTCGGCAAGCACAACAGGTAATCATACGCCCAAGCCCAAGAATCCTCTGATCTGTAAACTAATGGACGGCCAAGGAAGTCAAACAGCACGTCTTGTCTGGCTTCTCGATCTCCGTCTTTGAGTACCTGGATGGCTATCATACAATGAAACATCATCAACCAGCACAAACCAGCATGTCCTCTACAAGTGCAAACAACTTGGTCCTCCCATCCGGCAGCTGCAAGGACCAATCATTGCAACTCAGTGACTAGTCAAGGTAATACCCGCAGATCGCATCGACTTTGAATATCATGCAAACCAAACCAGGAGATCCACAGCCTGAGTCGATTCAGTCCGGCACAACCAGCGGGCATCAACTACTTGAGCGCTTGACAGGCAATGTCCTTCCCCCCCTGCTGCTCACCGTCTACCTTGGGTTCGATGCAGCAAGCAACTCGTTGGATGGAACACTGACAGTCTTGAGTTCTCATCAACCAGAGCAGTCGGAACAAGGACGGGACCCTCAAAGGCGGGTGCCAGTCGACAGCTTCGTCCACCTCTAGACATCCTCGAAACTTTTCCCATGACATGTTTTCCTTTCAAGTTTTCGTCAGTCACCTTGACAATCCCCTGGCATTTGTTACGTTTGGCTCCGACAGTAGGTCAGATAGAGCAGCGAGTTGGTGGATGTTGTTTCCGATCGCACCCTCTAGAGTTGTTCTCACACGCTCTGGGTCTGTTACTCTTTCCCCGTTGATGTCAAACTCTCCAAAGGCATTTTCAAATCTCGCCAACATGTCGTTTCTGTATGTATGAGCAAGGCTCTTGACAAAAGTAATTAAAGACATCTGTTGCATTTGATTCAAAGGGATGGACCTCAAATGATATGATGAGTTTACCTTCATCTCAATGCGACTGTACTCCACAGCATCCTGAGTAAACCAAAATCATTCAAACTCAATCGGCAGGAGAAACCCTCTCGGAATTACCTTTTTCATGATCTGCAAGAGGGAACTTTGAGCTGTGCTGCTCACCTGGATGGCAGAGGTCACTCAGGCAAAGACAAGCCCTTGCACGACCTCAGCGTTCACGTTCTCTACGGATTCAACCAGCAGCATGAGAGTTGACACATCTCGGGCTTTAGCTAGGTTCTTACACCTCAATCAACAACACTCAAGGAACTGACAGATCAGCAAGTCACCGACAAAGCCATCAGCGCTGCTTTCTTCACTTCGGCACTATCGTCTCTCACTCTCTTCTTTATCAACGGCAATACCTGAGGCAAGCTGCAACTGGAAATCAGCGCTATTCACTTGACATGAAAGTGACGCACAAGTCCCCAGCACCCTCATGACTCAACAGGCTGTTCAAACATGATATTGCAGCTGCTCGCACGGCAGGGCTTTCATCTTCACAAGCTATCATCATTTCCTGTCAAGACTTAGCTCTGTATGTTTGTGTGTGCAAGTAGCTTATCTCAAACCTCAATGAAAGAGCGGTCTGGGCCGGAAGCGAACTCTTGTACAAGATAGCAGATCTTCTGTCTAACTCGAGAACTCTTGCTTGACCACAAGGCAGCAATGAGCTAGCAGGTATCAGGTATCAGTTAACACATACCTCTAGCAGACACATCAAACCTTAGATCTCATCTCGCTATATCCGCCTCCAAGAGCTCCAACAAGTTCTTCCTTGCCCAGTGCTCTCAGCGCGTCTACCGCTCTCATGCTTTCAACTTCATACGGGCCGCAAAGTATGGCAAGAGTCTTCCATCTGATCCAACGAGTCAGACACTTGTTCGCCTCGAACATATCAGTACGGATGCTGATGCTCACTGTGCCCTAGAACCACTGCTTTCGCCGTGCTGGAGAATCGAATACCGTTGATGTCCCATGGCGAGCTCGAGCTGCGGATTGCGGTAAGGAGGATGAGAGATTCAAGACGTTCACGGCCCACAAAGATCGAGTCAGCTCAACACTTGCGTTAGCTCTTGTTCTGTCTGAAACTAACGCGCCGGGCTCCTGCACATGATCGAGTCATCAACTTACATGCAGCGACGGGGCCCTGACCTGCTTGAACCTCATCGAGCTCGCCGAGAGTGAAGGAGGGACGACGGGGGGAATAGATTGAGATGAGAGGTAGTCCCTCCTGTCATCTTCGACTTCCCTGAGGTGTCTGTCGGTGCTTGACGTTGGACCTGAGACCACCTCCCGCTCTTCATCCAGCCAGCCAGCCTTCATCTTCGGCTCAGGAAAGCTCATAGCAGATGGTGTCAGATCTGCTCATCAGGCTCTGCTGCTTGTACGGCCTGAATACAACTTGGTGACAAGCGCGGCCCAACGCATGCCACCATCAGGAGCAGCGACATTCATCTCCCTCCTCCCTCCCTCCATCCTTCGCCCCTCCGCCATGTATACGCCACCATCCCGAACTCACTCTGATCCGCTTCGGGGAAGAGCTTCCCGCCATGGTCGTGATCCTACCAGTCTCCGAAAATGAACAAACCGGTCCGCCTCAGACCTGAGAACTTGACTAAAACCATTAAAAAAAAAAGCGTACCACGACATGCAAGAAGCCAAGGAGGCGAGCGGGGAGGGGAGGGAGGGAAGGAGGGGGGAGGTGAAGAAGTCAGACTACTGGCGAGAGATGCTGCCATGGCTCAAGATCAGCTGCGGACGGAGAAGAATGAAGGTGAAGATGGCGGAGGAAGGAGACGTCAGGCGGTTCAGGTCTTCCATGGAACGCGAAGGGTTCTTCGCAATGAGGGATGTGATAGAGGAGGAGGACACACTGGATCGCCTGCAGAGAGGAGTGAGAAGTCTAGTCGACAGAGGTCTACACCCTCTCTTCATCATCCTCTTCGACGAGGCCTGGGAGATCGCTCACACCCTTGTGCCTCTGATGCGGCAGACCATCCACCCAAGGCTGGAGCTCAACTTCGACTGGTACGCATGGCACGTCGACCCGAAGAAGATGGAGAGAGGATTTCCTCCTCACAGAGACCGCACAGACATGCCTTTTGAGCGGGTGAGGTTTCCCAGTGCGAGGGTGGAGGGAGGGGAGGGGAGGAGTGCGGGGCAGGCCAACAAGCGGCAGGACAAGAGGGGCGACCCGCATGTCTGTCCCATGTATGCGACGTGTTGGATCCCTCTGACGAGAGCGAGTGAAGCCAACAGCTGCATTCAGTACTGTCCTGCCAGCAGAGATGAAGACTACATGAGGCAAGAGCAGGAGAAAGACTTTGTTCCCCCCGAGAATGACTTCCAGCCTTGTCCTGCTAGCCCAGGAGACCTCCTGGTGTGGAGTGGGAGGCTTGTGCATTCGGGAGGAGAGAGCAAAGACAGCAGTGCCTGCCCTCGCATCAGCATCGCCTTCGGCCTTTCCTGCAAAGAATACGAAGACAAGACCGTTCGCCTGCCACAGGCGATGCCAGGAGATGACGAGAAGGATGAAGAAAAGGAGGAAGGAGAGAGTGAAGAAGAGAGGAGGAGCAAGAAGCCTGAAGCGGAAGCGCTTGTGGGAGGAGGAGGAGGAGGAGAATTTGTTGAGTTCCGCTTGCCAAGTTTCTCACAGAGACTGTTTCTTGCTGCGGTCCAGATTCACACGTACGAGGAGTGGGGAAAGCTGAAGACAGAGATGATGGAAGAGGTTCTGAAGAGTCTGGAGATGGCGGAGGATTTAGATGTGCTCGAGTAGGAGGGGATGATAAGAATGAAAGCGGCCGGTCTGACTCAGTTGTTACTTCATGACTTTGATGGATGGTACTTGTCGTTGTAGTTCAGCTTGTGCCTGGCAAGCACATCAGATGGTGGTTGCGGTGGTGATGATGACAAGATGATGACGAGGAGGAGGCAGAGGGAGGAGCAGAAAGAGGACGAGGAAGGGATGAGGGATTTGGTGAATGACGGAGACGACGAGGAGGGTGGAAGGAAGCTGAAGAAGAGGTAGAGGAGGAGAAGGAGCATGGCGATACCTTCCCATCGGAGCTGAGTTTGTTCCCGAACAAATTCATCTCCTTAAGACAAGAAGTTCCCGCAAGCGTCTGCCGCATCCTCATCAGCCGAACTCCTCCCCTTCCCGCCTTCCTATCCCTCCTCCCCCCCCTCCTCTGCCTCCACCACCCGTGTCCTCCGTCCACCCGCCCTTCCCGGTCTCCCTCTTCTCCCTCTTCGCTCAACGCCCTCAGCTCAGCTCTTGCCGCCTCCCCCTTACCCGCCCAGCATGCAGGACGCCCTCGTCGTCGATTTCATTCCACCTCTGCAGAGGAGTAACTTCCCTCAATGGCCCCCGTCTTCCACACTCCTCCTCCTCCTCCTCCTCCT